TTTGTGTTACCTATTAAAACAGATTCCTAACTGGTCTTTCTGCCATCAGCTCCTGTTCACTCTGGCTGTTGCCAGAGTTGTCTAACTAGCAAATCTTACCTTTGTTAATTACAGGCCTCTACTTACTTTCTTATTGCCTGTAGGATATGAGGCAACCCCTAGTGTTACACACAGTATTCTTGCACAGTCTGGTCCCAGTATCTGTCTCCAACCTTACTATTTACTTCTCATCTCCATTGTCAGTGCTCTCATGATTGTCATGTCTCATCATAATCACTACCACTATATAACTGCTCTGTCATTTCCCCAGCTGGCAAATTCCTACTCAGATTCCAAGCCTCTACTCATCTGTTGTCTCCTTTGTACAAGAGTCTTTCCCAGTTTTCCCAAGTAAAGATAATGGTTTTCTCTTCTGTATGCATTTAGTGCTTTAATCATACCTTTTTTGTTTATTGAGTTTGGGTCTTGTTTTTTTGTGTCTCTCTCTATTCCATGTAAACAAGAGGAGAGTTCTTGTCTTATTCATCTCTTTTTCTTTTTTTTTTATTCATCTCTTAATGTGCAATACTTTACCTAACACATAACAAATGCCAACAAACACTGATAAATAGGTATGTCTGTAGTTTAAATTGTTGCTTTCAATGCCTGGCATGTGCGAGGTCATGAGTTTGATCCCCGGGCTAAAAAAGAAAATGTTACTTTCAAAATCTATATACATTCACAGGAGTAAAATTTTATATGCATAATTTCTTGAAAAATTTTAGCCATTTTAACTTTTCATAATTTTTTGTTAATTATGTTAGTTTTTACCTTTTAAAAGGATGGTATTGCAATTTCAGCCAATTTTTGTTAATTATGTTAGTTTTTACCTTTTAAAAGGATGGTATTGCAATTTCTTTAAGAAGTAACTCATTTTTTAATGGATTACTGTTTAATTTTAAATGTTAGATCTAGAGACAGAAAGATGTATAAGATATATATAAAGAGTGAGTTGCATTACAGTTTTATCTACTTTTTTTCAGAAAAATGTCATCAATATATTATTAATAGGGGCTGAGGGTTTAGCTCAGTGGTGGTGTACATGTGTAACATGTACAAAGCCTTGGATTTGATCCCCAGTGCAACCACGCACACACACACAAAGCATATATTATCTGTAAAAAAGAAATCTAGACAAACATAAGTTAGATTTGTTATATCTGCAGTTTTTTTACACTGAGTTTACTTTTCTAGGCAGAAATAAAAGACCTCAACAAAACAAACTACCACTCTTTTTAACCTTTCATGTTCTTAGAAAGAGTAGGTACTTTAATTCCTAGCATTATTAAAAAGTACAGTAAAATATGAGTAGTTAAGTGTTCTTGTTTTGTTGGTTTTAGTTTGTCTATGTTAATTATGTACAAATATGAGTTCAAAGACATTTTAGCTGTGTGTATCAGATCAACTCAATAAGCATGTTAAAGCCTACTTTGAGTTGAAATATATGCTGGATGCTATAGTAGAATATGAAGGGTATGCTTTCTATTATGCAGTAACCAGTGGCTTGTACTGAGTGGCAGAAAGTCCTGAATAGCAGTTCATGAAGGAGAAAAAATAAGTAATAATCATATATCTTACTTTAAATATTTATGTATGTATGTGTGCACGTGCATACTAGATATCAAAGCCAGGGCTTTGTACATGTTGAGTACATGCTTACCCACTGCCAATTACCCCACTCCATTAAATACATTTTTCTTAAACTTAAAATTTTCTTATATTTTAGAAGCCAGATTTTATTTCAGTATCAAATAGAAACTGAAAAAATACTTTAGTGTAAATTAAAATTGAAAAGGACATTTGCTGATAGGAAAGATATTATAGTAAAAGAAAGATGTAGAGGGAAGATATTTTTAAAAATAATTAACTAGTAAAATATTGTAAAACATAAAATCCTGAATTATATTGTCTGTCACATGTTTATATACCCTTGCATTGACATTTGGATTATAAAACAGTGAAAATATAGTTATGCAGTAGCTGTTCAAAAAAGTGTTTTCACTGATATTTTCTAAGTTTTATTGAGTAACTGAATTTCTTTGTTTACATTTGCTAAATGATTACCAATATATTAAATAATTCCCATGTTTGAAGTTAAAGCTCCGTGATTCTGAAACTCATCAAAAATCATTTTGAATTTTTTCTCTTGTATCTGTGAAATAAAGCTAAATTTTAATATGAAACATTTGACTTAGGAATAAAGAATTTTCTTCTGAAAATGAGATGCTCTTTTTATGAGGGTGATTCCACTGTGATTGCCACATTCACTTTGCTACCTAGTGAAGAAGCTTTTAGTGTACTTGCAAAGAACATAAGGAGTCATGTCAGAGGTCAGCTATTTGAGTCCATTTTCCCATAGCTGCCTTGTATGAGTGATCTTTTACTGTGTTTCAAAAAATGGGCAAGGATTAGAGAGGATTAGAAAGAATATTACTCTCCTGAACATAGGCCCTAGGCACTAAGGGAAGAGAACCCAACCAGGCAGCAAATGGGTTTTGCTTGACCAGGACACAACCTCTGCTGCATTCCTTTAAGAAACTGAATGGGAAATGTTAAGTCCCCAAAGTGGATTAGTAAATAATCTCATAGTTTGTGACATCTGCTAAAATAAATCGATGAGCAGACTACATTCTAACACTTTAAGAACAAAGCTGGAGACATCAAGAGTAAGAGTAATTAAAGATGGGCATTAAGCTCAGTAATGGTTGGAGAGTCATAAATAAAGAAGAAAAAATTATTTTAGATGTATTAATATGATGGGAACATACCTAAGGCTTAAATTTTTAAACCACTACAAACTTTTTATTATTTATTTTTTTCTAAATCCATTTTATTAGAAAGATAAAAAGAAAAAAAGAAGAAGAAGAAAATACAACAAAATTTCAAAACATATCAGTCATGGGGCCAAACCTTTTATTTTTAAGATTCCTGAGTCTTATTGCTTGTAGTAGTCTTATAGAATACTTCATAAACTTAGCCCTTTATTGATGATCTCAGTTTTTATAATAACCTGGCCACTGGAATTTGAAATGTAAGAATCTGTGTTTTGAGACACTTCTGGAATCTTTCCCTTTTTAAGATTAGAAGTTAATATGCCCTGATACATAATTCATTATCAGATTGTTTAGAACTAAAGAGGTTGTTTCAAACCTATTCTAGAAGGAAAGTGCATTCTGGTCTTAGTCTATGGAGGAAGGATTTATCTAAATAAAAATATTTTTTGAAAGTTTTGTGTTCAGTTGCCTACTTTGTAGAAAGGTGATATACAAGTGATTGATTTTGTATCTTTATGTAATAAGTATCCTTTGATTAGTATTATAGTTGTAATTATACGCTTTTGGAATGGGCTATATTAGCACAAGTATTTTCTTCAAGAGTCAGGAATAGAATTTCACTTCATATGTGAAGAAAAATTAATAAAGGGTAACAGGTATCTTTTCTAATCCTTTGTGTATATCTGTGCGGTTCTGGTTCAGTGCCTGTGTTCAAGATGGGCCTGTGCTTTGAATATGCTCTTCTGTTTTTCTCCTCTCTCCTACTTACAGGCTGCTTTTCCACATAACTACCTGCCTTTAAATATCAGCTCAAATCCCATCAAGTGGTTTAGTTCTAGCCCCTAAATCATAATATATTCTAAATACAGGTTATCATTGACCCAGCAGACCTACACCAAAGTTTTTACCTAAGAGAAATAAAAACATACCCATAACAGAAGTTATTCACAAATGACAATAACAGTATTATTCTTAACAGCCAAAAGGTAAAAACAACCAAATGTCTATCAAATGAAGAATGAATACCCAAATGTTGGTGTTTCCTTATGGCCATACAATGGGATAATTATCAGACCACAAAATGGAATGAGGTATTGATATGTGCCACTACCTGGATGTACTTTGAAAATACTATGTTAAATGAAAGAAACTAGTCACAAACGATCACACATAGATTCCATTTGTACAAAATATTCAATGTAGGCCAGGGATTTAGCGCAGTGGCTTAAGCGCCTGTCTGGCAAGTATGAAGTTATGAATTTGATCCCTGGAACAAAAACAAAGTTCAATGTAAGGAAATTTATACAGATAGAAAATAGGTTAGTGCTTGGTTGGTAGGTTGGGGAATGAGGGTACTGGGTAACTAAAGCTTACTGGGTTTCTTTCTGTAATGATAAGAATGTTTTAAAATTGTGATAATGGTTGCACATACCTGGAACTATAATAAAAACTGTTGAGTTGTACACTTTAAATAAATGAATTTTAAGGTATGTCAACTTTATCTTAATAAAAATATTTTCAAAAACAAGTAAAAATTATTCCCTATTCATATATCCATAGTTTATGCTTCTAATAAGGTACTCGCCAATATAGTCTAGATATATTTATTGACTTAGGAATGCTCAAAAAAAAGGACTCTTTTCAGTTGCATTATGAAGCTCAGAGAACGGGGAGGGTAGTTTTTGTTGTTGGTGGTGGTATTTTCTAACAAGCATAATGCTTTGTATTTAGTAAGTTTGAGTTTATTTGAATTTTTCCACAATTAAATTTTTTCATCTATAAAACAGAAATGAAAGAACAAAGAATTGAATGTTGCCACAAAGTATTATTCCAAAATGGTATTATAAGTTTACATTTAATTCTTTTTTGGAAAATAAATATTTGCTCTCAAATTATTTCTTCAGCTTAAGTCTCCATTTTGTATTTAGTAAGGTCACATAGGCCATTTATCGCCATATTTTTACCTAAGGAATTATTGTTTTTTAGAATTTGCAGTAAAAAAAAGTTTGTGTGTATAAGCATTTTATACACAAGTTTTCAAAAGATCCATCATGTTATTTGAACTATTTTAATGTATATGATTTTTAATCACCTTGACTATTAGCATTGTGAATGTTTTTGTAGATATTTGAACTAAGCAAAATTTAATTCTTCTCTGTTGTATGTATGTATATGTTATTCTTGCAGTATTTACTAGAAATGAAAAGTTTGATTTTACCACCAGAACACATTCTGAAACGCGGAGATAGTGAAGCAGTTGCCTATGCTTTCTTTCATCTTCAGCACTGGAAACGAATAGAAGGTGCTCTTAACCTGTTGCAGTGTACATGGGAAGGCAGTAAGTATTCTTTTCTAATCGTGACACTAATAATCTCTGACCATTCACAGCATTAAAGGGCCATCTTTTTAAAGGAGATTGTCTGAGTTTTTATAAAGATTTGTTTAGATTGGTTTTGAAGTGAACTTAGTGGCATTATAGTAGATTTATTGCTAAAAGAAATAGTTAATATATTTGTATTAATGCTACATCAGGAAGAGCAGACTGAGAAACTGTCATAGTATTTTCCGTTTATTCATTTAAGTTAAATACATGTAAGAAAAGAAAATGAAAAGATAGGCCCTTTGGCTTGTTAGCTTTTTATTTTTTTATTTTTTATTTTTATTTTTGGTAGTGGGGATCGAACTCAACCTCATGCTTGCCCGGCAGGCGCTTATGCTGCTGAGCTAACTCCCCAGGCCTTGTTAGCTTTTTAATGTGATTAAGAGGTTGCTCTAATTTTTTTTAGAACCCAAAGCGTCCTATGGTAACAATGTACATTACTATTGTGTTACATTCTTGGCCATCTTCTCATTTTGAAAATTGGTCTGATTTTATTTTATTTTCAGATATGTACAACATGAAACTCTTTTCCTCTTAACTGTAGCAGCTCTATCCTCATTTTTAAAATTGTGGTGAAATATAAAAAGAATTTACAGCCAGGGATTTAGCTCAGGAGGCGTTAAGTGCCTGCTTGGCAAATGCGAGGTCCTAAGTTCAATCCTCGGTAACAACAACAACAAAAAACTTACTGTTTTAACTATTTTTGTGTTCTTTCAGTGGCATTATGTACATTCATATTGTTGTACAACTGTTATCACCATCCATCTCCAGACATTTAATCCTTCCAAATGGGAATTCTGTATACATTAAGTAATAACTTCTCATTCTTCTCCCCAGACTCTGGCAAACCCCACTGTATTTTCTGTCTATTTAAGTATAATCTCTGGTACCTCATCTGGGGAATCATAACAATATCTGTCCTTTTGCTTCTGGTCGATTTCACTTAGCATATCATCAAGGTTCATCATATAGTTTGTTTCAGAATTTCATCTAGTCATCTATCTGTGGACATTTGGATTAGTTATACTTTTTGACTATTGTAAATAATGTGCCATGAATATTGTACAAATATCTGTTTGGATTCCTGCTTTCAATACTTTGAGTGTATATCCAGAAGTAGAATTGCTGGATATAAAATTATATCTTCCATAGCACCTGCATCATCTAACATTCCCATCAGCAATCCACAGGAGTTTCAGTTTCTCCACATCCTTGTGCACTGTTATTTTTTGCTTTGATATTTGTTTGATAATAGCCATCCTAATGGATATGAAGTGGAATTTCATTGTAGTTTCCCTTTGTATTTACATAATGATTAGTGAAGTAGAGCATCTTTTCATGTGTTTATTGGCCATTTCTATATTTCCTCTGGAGCATAAAGTGGGCTATTTTAACCAGCAGAGCTCTTACTTGTAACTCTGCTCTGCTCTACTTACCTTTACTTTTCTTTTTGAGACAGAGTTTCACTATGAGGTTCAGGCGGGTCTGAAACTCATTTTGTAGCCCAGGCTGGCTTCTAACTCATAGTCATCTTCCTGCCTCAGTCTCCCAAATGCTGGATGCATATGGCTTTCAGTAAGAAATGATGTTTTGTTTTTTTGTTTTTTTTTAAATTGAGTTTTTCTATGTTGCTTATGCTGGTTTTGAATTCATGGGCTCAGTGATCTTTCAACATCACCTTCCTGAGTAATTGAGACTATAGTACATAATGGTATATACCATTATGTGCTGATAAAATAATGGTTATTTAAAAATAAGAAAAAATTATTTCCTATTTACATTTATTTTTTAAAAATTGCTATTATTATGTATTTTTTTTTGTGACAGTATCTCACTGTGCAGTTCAGAGTGGCCTCAAACTCACTTTGTAGCCTGTGCTAGTATGGCCCTTGCAACGATCCTCCTCAGCCTCCCAAGTGCTGGGATTACAGGTGTGCACTGCCACGCCCAGCTAGAAAATAAACTTTTAAAGTTGTTTGAACACACTAAAATTGTTGGATTTTTTTCAATGTATGGCATCATAAGACCTTACTAAAACTGGGTATATAGCTTAGTGATAGAAAGCAAGCTTATTGAATGTGAAGCCTTGAGTTCAGTTTCTAGCACACACACACACACACAAATAAATAATCAAACCTGAACCATGAAGGACACCATGTGTCCTTGATCAAGAAAATTTGGGAACCTCTGCATTCATTATTTGGAAATTGTCGTATACTGCTCTTCACAATAAAAAGATTAATAAAACTGACATTATGTACTTGAAGAGCTCAAATTTTCTCTAGTAGTCTGTAAGTCCCCAAAACCAGCTACTATATTTCATTTAACTTGTATCTTCTTTTCCTGGCATTCTGTGTGGCACATAAGGAATATTCAATAAGGATGTGATTTATCTTGTGCATTTCATACATAATGATTAGTGATTTCCTCTTATCATGATTTGATGATTGACTTAGGGCTAGTAACTACTTCTTACTATAGTAGAGCAAAATCAATCAGTCAGTCCATCTATCTGTTTATATATATTTTGTCTTTTTGAGGTAGGGCCTCACTATACAGTTGAGACTGTCCCTTACTTTATAGCCCAGGTAGGCTTTGAACTTGGAGTGATCCTCCTGCCTCAGCCTTCCAAGTGCTAGTATTACAGGCATGCACCATAATACCTAGCCTCAAAAATCTATACTTTGACAAAAGTTTATAGAATCAACCACTAAAGGAAAATCAAAAACCTTATTACAGTTTTGATGAGTACTTAGCTAGTAGAAGAGATCAATAAGGGTTTCTTCTTTGATAATTCCACAAGAGTTGGTAATAATCTAAATCAAAAGTGAGCAAAGTTTTCTATAAATGGCCAAGTAGTAAATATTTTAGGCTCTACAGGCCATGTAGTCTTCATCAAAAGTATTCTTACATTGTGAAAACTATCTTTTATTGTTTGAGATTGGGGTCTCACTATGTCACCCAGATTGGCTTTTAACTCACTGTGTAGACCAGGCTGGCATCAAACCCAGAATCCTCCTGTGTGGTGGGATTGTAGGCAGGTGTCATCACACGTAGTGAAAGTAACCTTAGACAATATATAAATGAACAACATTTATATATTCCAATATATAAATATTCAAATATGTTCCAATAAATTTTTATTTACAAAATTGATAAGTTAATCTGATAGTGGGTCAGATCTGGCTAAAAGGTTTCACTTTGGTGAATCCTAAACTAGATTACTTCTGCTCATAGAAAACTTCGACAAACTTCTCATGTAAATTTAGGAACCATTTGGTACTCTTCTTGAAAGGTACTCAGAAGTTAGGCTTATGACAACTTCAGCAAGATTTCTTTAAGAGGCAAAGTTTATAAATGCTGAGTTAGGTCTATGACTGTAGTAAGGAGACTGTGGCAAAGAATAATACAATAAATCTTACCACCTACCACTGCCTTTAGTTTTGTTCTAGGTAAACTAAATCATTGACTGTTCTGTAAATAGTCTTATTTTCTCCTTATTAATTCTTTTGTTTACTTTCTTTCATCTAAAATGTCTAAGAAAACAAAACACTGTGATAACACTGTGATAATAAACGCTGTGATATATCTTCAAAATAGCTTTGATCTACAGTATAGGATGGAAAATGAGATAATGTCAACATATACATTTTTTTCTCAGCTTTTAGAATGATTCCTTATCCATTAGAGAAAGGACATCTATTTTACCCTTATCCCAGCTGCACAGAAGCTGCTGATAGAGAGCTGTTACCCAGTAAGTAAATACTTCATTTTTCTTAAACTTATAATTGTTTAGATTTTCTGTATTAATCACGTTTTTATTACTATAACAAAATACCTGATATAGGCTACTGATGAAGAAAGATTTATTTAGCACAGTTTTGGACACTCTATATACAAATGACATAGTGAGAGCTTTGTAGTAAGGGCTGTCTCTTGGCATCAGCTCACAAGTGGACAGCAATGGCAGGAGCATATGCAAGGGTAAGTCAATGATTATATCTCCACCTGGAAACAGAGAAATTGGCATCCCAGAATCCCTTCCAAGGGCACACCCCCACTGACCCAAGTACCTCTCAGGGGTCCGTGCCTCTTAAGGGTTCTGTTTCACAACATTGCTCACTGGGGAACAAATTCCAAACAGATGAACCTTTGAGAGAGTCACAAACATAGTCAAATATTAGCATTTCCCATAGTATTTTCTTTACTTTAAGAACACTTTGACTCAAGCATGACAGTACATAACTTCAATCCCAGCAGTGGGGGAAGCTGTCTTATTTACTTTTCTCTCATTATTGAGGCAAAATACCTGATACCCAAAGTAAAGCAAGTTACAGTTTTTGGAGGTTTCGGTCCATACTCAGCCAGCTCCAGTGCAGCGTGGCGTGGCTGAGGAGTGGCTGTTCATGTTGGCCACAAGCAACAAGAAGGAAAAGGGCAAAAGGGGAAAAGCATGCCTCTTTCCGTCCCTTATATAATATGCCGGCTACCTGCCCTTGGGTGGGTACAGTGCTCACACCACCAATCCCAGCACTAGACAACAAACCAATCATAAATGCTAGACTCAGCTGCCTCCATGATTGCATGAGGCTTTGGAGGCCATCTAAACACAAACCATAGCATCCACTCCTGGCCCCCCAAAGACTTATGTATATCCCTTATGCAAAAGACATTTAGTCCATCTCTAAGAATTGCCAGAGTCCTAACAGTTTCAGCACTGCTGAAAACTTCAAGCCCCAAGTTTCCTCTGAGATCTAAGGCAAACTCATAGCTGTAACCCCTTTAAAAATGAAAACAAAGTTAAATACTTCCAACATTAAATGACATAAGATAAACATTACCATTCCAAAGGGTACAAACGGAGATACAAAGGAATGGGACCAAAGCAAGTCCAAAATCCAGCAGGGCAAACATTAAGTCCTGGAGTTCCACACTCAGCATCTGAAGCAGTCTGATTGTGAGCTCCAAAGGGCTTGGATGACTCCACCCACCAGCACTTCCAGTGGTTTTAGTTCCCATGGCTTTTCTCTTGGGCTAGCTTTACTCCCTCCTTGCAGGTTTCCTTAGGTATTCCATGCTCCTGGCTTTTCCAAATTTCTGGGTTCTCTATTACACCTTGGCTTCACATCTACAGCTTCACATACTGCCCTTTCAGGGGCACACTGCTTGGCCTCCCAGTCCCTCTAAAATCTAGGTGGAAGCCTTTTTAACCTCAGAACTTGTGCATTCTCCATGCACCTAAAACTAGTGCCACATGGATGTTGCCAAGGTCTCCTGCCAGCTGGGGCAGTGGCCAGGCTTTCTTCTCTCTTGGCTGTAAGGGTCAAGAACTTGGATCTCTGTGCACTCTGAACCTGATTATGAGGAACAGATTTTCTATGTCATTGCCATTCTGGAACCTGGTTACAGCCACCACCATTTTGGAGCTGCCTGTGGCCTCTGCTGCCATTCTGGAACATGGTGCTCTGAAGCTTTCTCCTCCAAGTAGTCTTTCACTTGTGCAGTTTTGAGGCTGCAAAGAGAGGAAACCCACTGCTTCCTGGGATGCCCCTAGACCATCTTTTTTATTTCTCGGTTCTTCCTCAATTGAAGTCTCAGCTCTATCTTTGCAATCTGCAGCTTTCTGGAGGCAGGAAGATCACAAATTAGACCCCAGCCTGGGCAACCTAGCAATTTACTAGTTCCCTCTCTCAAATAGTTAAAAATGGGGTGGGGATATAGCTCAGTACAAAGGCCTTGTATTCAATCTTGAATACTGTTTAAAAAAAGAAGAAAGAAGACTTTTTTTGGAACCTTTTAAATACTTTCATAGCATTTCTAGGATATAACTGCATAATGATTCAATTCATTTTCAGATATTATTGGGAAAAATCTTGTGCTAGAGACAAGGAAGCCAAAGCTCTTTAGAGCTCACAACCAGACTGCTTCAGATGCTGAATATATAACTCCAGAACTTAACCTTAACAGTCACCTTACAGATATTTATAAGAGAAATAAGAACCAGCCCACACAAATCTCATAAAATAAAAAAGAGAATATTCCCTAACTCATTTGGTGATGCCTATATTGTCCTGATACCAACACCAGACAGAGATACAAGAAATGCAAGAAAACTGTCAAGCAGTAGCCCTTTTATAAATACAAATTTTTTCAGGAAAAAACTAGCAAACTAATTGTGAATTCAAGGCCAACCTGGGCAACATGGGAAAATACAATCTCTAAAGAAAGAGGAAGAGGAAGAAAGGAAGGAGAGGGGGAAGAAAGAAGAGGAGGAAAAAAAGAGACAAGAGAAGGAGGAAAAAAAGGAGAAAGGAGAAATAAGTTGTTCTAAAAAAATGAAATTATGTAGTATAAGAACTGAACTAAGGATAAAACCATGATGGCACAAAAATGACTAAGGAATTGATAGCAGGAACATAGTTGAAGATTTATTGAAGGAGTGGTCAGAGAGATAACACAAGAGCCAGAACTAGATATTCTAGAAACTAAAAGGAGGAAGAAATTTCCAAGTGAGGAGTATCTAGGAAGGCAGTTACTGAGCAAAATCTATTGACTTTGGCAATTAGGAGATCATTAGTGAGAGATTTCATTTTCCTTCCTACAGTGAGGGTGGTAGTATTTGTTCTTGTTATTATTTTTCCATTTAAAAAAGAAAAAATATTTTAAAACAAAGGAACAAGTCTTTAATTATAGAACATCAATATGCAAAAGTCTGTTAGGCTAATACATTTAGACTAAAATAATGCCCCCTTTGTAATTATTATAAAAATTGTCTAAGGCCAACTTTGTATATTAATATGACTAAATTAAGAGTAATTTTCATAAATCAGTCATATGCTACAAGACCAGATAGGAGGTTTTTTTTTATTTTGTTTTGGTAAGCCTTTATTAATTCCAACTACATATAGAATGCAAACTCCAGGAGGTTGCAGTACAAGGGTGAGCTAGAGGATTTCGTTTGATTATAGTATATGGTGTTAGAATATTTTTCCTATCTTTGCCTGTGTAGAATGAACAAAAATTTAAGGATGCAGAGTTCTAGTATCCAGGAGTACTTTTTTTTGTTTTTAATTCCTTCAACCTTGATCTGCCTTAGAATTTGCTTATGGACATAAGTTCAGACTTGAACTCTTCCCCTAGTTCACACGGCTATTTAGTTGTCTATTATGCTTCCTGATAAATTTTTCTGTAAAAAACTGATGATGAAATTTGAACTTTTGTTCCAAGGGAGTATTTCTGTACTAGTCAGTCACTCATTATATTGATATATTAGCCAAACATTGACTGACAAATGAATCTACAAAAAGCAATTCAGAAAGAAATAATTGGGTCTCTCCTACAGTGTAAGAAGCCCATTTTTAAGGAAATTTTCATACTAAAGCTATGTAGTTTTCTTCCATACAAGACAGGGATAATACCATCTATCTCTTGGGGTTACTAAAAAAAATCAAGTGAGTACTTTATAAGCCTTAAAATACTAAACAGTATTTTAAATACTAAATATTATTAATTTTTATTTTATTTCCTGCTTTCTGAAATACCAAAGCATGTTTCTTTACATTTACTACAAGAAATTGGCCTCTAATAGCTGAGGAACAGGGATTGAGGGTGCTGAAAGCACAATATTGTCTACAGTTTCCAGTCCCAATCTCTCTTTCTCTCTTTCCCTCTGTACTGGGGATTATACCCAGGACTTCGTACTGAGCTACATTACCAGATCAACCCTTTTCTTTAGCTTTTTTGAAACACAATCTGCATTACCCATGCTGGCCTTAAATTTATAACCTTCCTGTTTCAGCTTCCTGAATAGCTGTGATGTTTCTAATTTTTAAAAATTCAGCTCAACTGTTTTTATACTTTAAAGATTGCTCAAGACTCTGGAAATTTTATGGCTTTTAAAATGAATTTGGTTTTTGGTATAAACTTTATGAAATTATATAAGATACATAAAATATTGTAGCTATTGAAGGAAGCTTATATGTTAATCACTGTGATAGAAAAAGTGAAATTTATAGCTTACCTTGGTTCAGCATTGAGTTAGTCATCTATTACTAGTGCAGGATATTACTGTCTATCAAGAATTCCTGGGTTAGAGTCCAGCCCAAAGCTGTCAACTTAATGGACTAATGAAGTCTCTGAATAGTTCTCTATTTAATAGAATTCTATTGCATACCGATTATGTGTCAGGCACTATAATAAGTTTATCTCTGCATTGTTATTCAGGTATTTTTAAAATTTTAAATAAAATATAAGTAATATAACTAGTAATCTGTGACCAGTAGAAAAATAAAACTTGAGCATGTAAATGTAATAGAATAAAAAAGATTCATTTATGACCAGAATCTAGAGCTTTAGTTTTCTAGATCATTTTTATAGTGAGTAATAAAATATCACATAAAAAACATATTAATATCTTGGTAAAATTATTAACTGATGCTCCTGAGAAAATCACCTATGATATATCTTTCTCTTTACACTATTCTCTGAACTTCCAAAGAATAAGAATTAATAATAACTCACATTTTACTAAATGCTTACAACGTTCATCATAACAACTCCCTAGCAACTTTTTATAGGCTTTAGCAACTTACTCAAAATCACACACTGATAACTGACAAAGCTCTTTTTCAAAACCACCTCAGCATGACTTAGTAATCAGTGTTGTTTCCCACGATGTGGTCCTGTTCCCAGACCCCGGTATGGTCAACTGGCTATTTAGAAATGCTGTTAATGCCGAAATAAATAATGGATAACTTTCTTTTTGTACTTTGCTTGACCAGAGAATTCTTGTTCTTGAAAAATATTTTTTTAGTTTTTTAAAAATAGATTTAATCTAAAAATATTGACTAGCTTACATTATATTGCAAAATAAAATTCATTTCTACTTTTTTTCCTTTGTAGCCTTTCATCATGTTTCTGTATATCCAAAGAAGGAACTTCCTTTTTTCATCCATTTTACAGCAGGACTATGTTCTTCTACAGCAATGATAGCTCTTCTCACACACCAATTTCCTGAAATCATGGGTGTTTTTGCTAAAGCTGTAAGTATGATCTCAAGGACTTGCATAGAGTATTTGTAAAGCACACAAGAAACCTTCTCTGACCTGTTTGTGATAACTCAGATGACCAACAGAGATATTTGTAAAGTTCCTGCCATAATATGCAAACGTAACTTTCTGGTGACTTGAACTATTCTTCTGTTGCTTAAAAGTTTAAAGAATATAGTGCTTGACATTATAAGGGGGTTTTTTTCTTTTTTTTTATTTAAAAGGAAAAAGAGAAAAAAACAGAAAAAAACAAAACAGTGCAAGGGTACAAGTAATACAGAACTACAAAAAGAAAAAAAAAATAGTAACATACCACCAGTTAACAGATTACACACTATCATCTTTGAAACAGTGATTCAGGTCACAGGATCAAAGCATACACAGTGAACATTCAAATAGTGAGTCTGTTTGATTTTATTCTCTTACAAAAAAAAGTAATAAGATCTATGGGAGCAATAAAACCCAAAATGTGTAAGTTTTGTTGTTATAAAGAGAGGGAAAAAAGTGCCCAAAAGGATACAACAGCAAATATGTTTAGGTGTGTTAAATAGATGACTATATTAATATTTTTGATTGGATCATTGAACACAACTATAAGGTTGTTTTTTGTACATCACCTTTGGTGAGAGATCTCATTCATTACTAGAAAATCCAACTCTTTTTTGCCTAGAGCATATTTTATTTGGTATTTTTAAAATTTCCATATTTTGTAACCAAATCTTTTGATTATTCCATTTAATGATATCATTAGTTCTAAAGATTCACTAAACTTTATATTAAAGAGTACAACTAGGATGGAGAATAAGTAGATAAGATGCACCAGGTATAGAATATGTTTTATATTAAAAGGTTTACCCAGTTACAGTGTCTGTATCTTCTTATTGATCTCCCCCCGGCTTGGGCATAGAGCCATGTGTAGGCCTTATTTTTAACTGCGTTCTCATTTCCTGACACAGGAAGTACTTGAGGACTAACTTTAAATAGGGTTTCCCATGACTATTCGTAATGTCATTGGCTCAAGGTAAAATTATCACAAACAATTCTCTTTATGTCTCCTAGTCTTATAAAATGCATCTTTCTTGTACATCTTTATAATTTTACTGAGTAATAAGCAGTTAAAATTCTCAAAGAAAATAATTCATTTTACTTCCAAATAAAAGCTCTGAGAACCCTAGAAAAACTAGCCCTTGCTTGGTAATGTATATTTTTCTCTATGTGACTCCATTCTGACTCCCTATTTTCCTCCCAATTTCTTTTCCTGCCTTAAGAATATTTTGTTTTGTGCCTTACAGATTAATTGGCTTTATTCTGGCACCATGGTTAGAACACTGGTTTCCCATTTTCCCAGGAGGTCAACTGACAGTATGTTCAGTTGCCACTGGCTATAGGCCTTGGAGTCTAAGTATGCATTTGATTGTAGGGCAAGTGTCAAGAAGAATGACTTCCCACTGTTTTTCAGGGAGTATAGATATTTGGGTTAGAATGTGACTATTTTAGTTCCTTCTTGTGTAAAAAAGAAGTGTGATTGACTACGTTGTAACTGTGTTGTTTGCAAAGGTGCTGGTTAGGGAGTGAATGCACCTCAAATTGGAATGATATTATTGTGTAATCCTTCATGGACAAAAAATGGAGTAGAAAGGGAAGCCCATCAATTTAGCAGCTGGGCGAAAATGTACAACTAGGTATTTTAAAAACACAAGCAAGAACTGGGAGAAATGGTTTGTGAATTTCTCTCAGGCAGTAGAGTGGGAAGGAAGAGAAATAGAGCTAGGAGAGAGATCTAAACTGGAATAGATATGTAAGTCCTATTAGTTGTGTATTTCCATGATGTATTATCTAAAATTAATATGATGTGTACTTATTGTGTGCTCTATCCATCAATGTTTGTTTACAGTGACTGCCTTTGCCTAAGAGTCACTAATGTCACCAAGAAGAACCTTTACGATTACATCATATAAGTTCCTTAGCACTCCTCTAGCAGAGTCTGAGAATGAAGAATTACATATTTTTAAGTGGAAGCTTTTTTAAGACTAAAAGTTATTGATATATTGTGATTCTAGTTGATGTACAATAAACAAGCATTTACTCACATAACTTTTGGTTTTTATGTAGTGGGTGATATAAAATTTAAAATGTTACTAACAGTGAACTTTTACAACCCATATTTTAACCTATGGCTTTTACATGTACATTTTAAAGTTGTAAAAGACAAATATTTACTGGTAGTATGATCAAACCAGTACCTGGCAGGCAGCAGTTTCAAAAGCAGGTCCCACTTAAGAGTTAACGGAAAATAATAACAGTATGGGCAGTCTCCAGCTTTTAAACACAACCTATAAGTGCCCTGGCCGGCAAATAGCAAGAAAACCAGAGCTTCAAGTTCTACTTCTGCACTACTTTGTAAGGCGTGGTTTATATCCCAGAGGCCCAGCTCTCACCCAGGAGCTGGTAAAAAATGCAGAGTCTCAGGTACTACCACAGACCTCCTGAACAGAATCTGCATTTTAACAAGATGCGCAGATTATCCTGTGTGTACATTTAAAGCTTGAGAAATCTTGCTGTATTCTCTCTTACCAATCTTTGCTATGTAGAACATCTCAGTAGTTCCACTCATCCAAATGGAGAAGGGGCAGAATCACAGAATGCTTATGGGTAGAGACATTGGAGCAGCTTTGCTTTAAATTCCATCCCTGACACTTACTGGTTGTGCAGCTTCAGGTAAGTTATTTCATTATCTCTACCCTTAATTATAAAACAAGAATAGTACTACTGCTGCATAGGTTTGGGTGAAGGTTAAATGAGTTGAAATTTATCAAGTATTGCTGGGGATTTAGCTCAGTGGCACAAGCACCTGCCTGGCAACAAGTATGAGGTCATAAGTTCGATCCCCAGTACAAAAAAAAATCAAGCATTTAGAACTATGTCTACCCATAATATGAAGTAGCTATTAGCTGTTCTTCCTTCGCCTTGTCATCCTTTATCACTAAAGTGCAGCTATTAAGGAGTTCAATCCTAACAGTAAGCTCAGAATGCCTTCCTATAAAAATTGAAACATAAATGAGTGTCATTTAAATGATCCTATTAGCATCATACTATTAATACTATACATTTGGTACAATACATATATGTTAAACACAAAAAGAAAAAACTGTTTCAAGTTCCTGCCACGGGCAACTCTATTGATGTTGCAAGCTCCCTATATTAGGATTTTCAATTAAATCAGATATCTGATGACCAACTAAAGTAAGATGAAGTGTAGTTGAAACATACTTGTTCTTCTATTTAGTAAGGCAAAATCATTTAAGAAAATTTCCTAAATTTTTTCACGTTACTTTTGTCTCTTCCTTATCTAATGTCTTTTTGGTGTTTTTCTTGTTTGTTTTTTATATGTTGAGACATGGTCTCATTATGTTCAGGCTGGCTTAAAACTCATTGTGATACTCTTGATTGAGCCTCCTAATGCTGGGATTCCAGGCATTGTCACCACATCTAGTCTAATATCTCTTTATATGAGTTTACATGGTGAAACAAATTCAGTTTGAATTTCTCAAAAGGTATTTATTATAAAAACTGTTTTTTTTATGATACCAGGCACTGAAGATTAATAATTTTTAATAGTTCTCACTGTAATTAGATTTAGATAAATGGAAGGGAATAAACTAGAATGATTAATGATTGTAATGCTTCTTCCTTTGCATAGGATAAGGATATAGGGAATAAAATTTCATATTTACCAAATTAGGGTTTTTTAATCTGATTTTTCTCCTGACTGAGATGAAAATCTGGTTTGACATTAGACATAGAGCAATGAAAAGTTGCCTAAATCCCTAGAGATGTGGAATGTGCTGATATCAGAGCTGATACTCTCCAAGTCCAGAATTCCTAAAAAAGAAAAAATTGCTTCTAAGTGGTAGGTTATTTTCTCACCTGCTTTGAAGCCTGCTGGGTTAAATATGAGAGTTCAAAGTAAGGGTAGCCAGCGAACCAACTGAACTGGAATCTGATTCTGCTTATCTGAAAGGAGCTTCTTTATTTAACAGCAGTTCTGCCCTCTCCTTAGAGAACCAATCTTCATCTACTCAGGCCCCTTTCATTTCTCTCTTGCAGAGAAAGCTTTCTTTTAAGTAAGGCTTGGAAGGGTGTTATCACAAAAGTGAAGACTTAAAGATGGTCTTTGGGGATTTCACTAACTTACTGATGAGTTCAGACCTGAGGCATGTGACTTTAGTGCTTTGATTTGAGAGGTGTGTTTGAATGTAAAAGTCCCAACTTAGATTTTAACTAAATAGGGCAGTCTTTGCCCTCTTGGCAGAAAAAAACAAAAACATTTGGGTAAAGTCAAGAATAAAAAAGATTTCCAAATAAACTATCTATTTTACTAAAGCAAAACTTTGCTGAGTTTCACTAAACTCATATTGTAGCTGTGCTGGGTGGGAATGGGCCTTGCTTCCACATATTTCTACTAATCTTTATGTGGGAAAATGTGGTTGGACATGCCAGTGATGAATTTCTGAGCAACTCATAATTGGCTGGCTTCACTGTAACTAGGGCCTTACAATCTGCTTGATTAATTCTTTAAGGACTACATTAGCCAAGTTGCATGATTTCCAAAGATATAGAAGGTCAGATGTTATACTAACAAAGGACCTCTCCACAGAATGTCTCACTGGGGTTTCTTCAGGCCCTTCATAAAAATAATTAAAATTTTTCTCCACAAATTACATTTTAAAATAAGCAAATATGAATGCCAAGTGTCTTTTATTGAATACTAAGCACAACTTTTGGAAAGGTTAATCCATTATTCTCATTATTTTTTCCAGGGCAAAGATCACCTTAAGAACTAGGAGAGTTGATAGACAATTATAACTATACGTTGATATATAATGGTAGAAATGTATATGATTTTTAAAGGTTTTTAGCTTTTCACTGTAACAATATGAAAATTGTTCATAGGAGAATTTTTTTTTAAATTTTTATCTGATTTCATTAATGCTAAAAACCTGTGATATTTGCATACTTCTCTACCTAATATGGAAGGCCACATTTAGAAATTAAATTGACAAAGGAAATTTCTTTGCTTTGAAAATGGATTCATTTTGAGTTCATAAGGACTAGTACGTTTTTTAAACATTTTGAATTGTAACAAAGCTTATATCCCTCTGAAGTACATGCTGTTCTCTTCTCTACTATTTCCACAGTAATATATTGGAGGTGTTTCCCAGAGACTATAAAGATAATCAAATGAGCCTGTTGTGAGACAGGTCAACAATTTTGAATGTTTACATTTTTGTTCCATCATTAGTGTCTCTAAAATCTCTGTTTTGGCAGTCTGGCATATGCAATTTTTATTTTATTAAGTTGTATATTTGTAGCAAGAGGAAAGATTTTCTCTACTTCTAGTAAGAGGATTCTCATCCCTCATCCTCATTGTTTCTCTTCAAAAGAAAAAAATCCAGACTCAGAGATTTGTGAAATTGCTAATACTCTTTATTCAAATGTTTTTAAAGTACTGAACTCTCCTTTTCAAAGAAGGAGAAAAAAGAATAAAAGTTAGGTAATGTGCTTTTTAATGCATATATGTACCCTTTCCTCAGAGTTTAAGTGAAGTTTGTGGAAAGCATGCTTTCTTTCTATTAACATATGTTTGTGAACTATGAAGTTCATAAAAGTTCTCCCTGAATTTGTTTGGCAGCAGTATATTTAATAGTTTTTCTCCCTCAAACTGTTAAGTCTCCATTTCAAAGTTTATGATATCCTGTCACTAACTGCTACTAATATATTTATAGCTAAATCATTAGTACTTAGGGCACAAGGGCTATTTAGCAATTTTTAAAAGAGTTATGCTTAGATATTAATGAAAATCATTCATTCTAAACCCATTATACTGTTACTAATAGAATTTACGCTAGAAAATCTACTGATCTTTGTTTTAGAAAATACATTTGTCTAAATAAAAATCATAGTTCTCTGAATAAAACAAATAAAAAGGTACAAAAGAAACTTAAAATCTTGAAGAATAGCTTTTCTTTTTAACATTTAATATCTACCCTTCTCTAACCAGTTAAATTTCTTTCTTTCTGTTTCCTTCTTTTGTTTTGTTTTTTTAGACAGTCTTACTGTGTAAATCAGGTTGGCCATGAACTCGCTATGTAGTCCAGGCTGGCCTTAAATTTGTTGTAATCTTCCTGCCTCAGCCTCCCAGAGTGCTGAGGATACAGCCATATGCTTCCATGCCTGGCTTCATATGTCTAATGCTCAAAAGAACTATAAATTAGAATTCTAGTATAAATTAAGAGTAACTTGAACTTTAATTAGTTCTTTCATTTTCTTTTTAAGAGCCTATACTTGTATTATTTGATCTTACTGAACAAGAGATTATAATCTTCCTGTGTTATAGATGGAAAGTTTGAATCATCAAAGCTAAGTTAAATGCCTAAAATTTCATAATAGATAAGATAGTCTGTTAATTTTAGTCATAATAGATATACTTTTTCAATAAACACAATTTACATCAAAGCAAGTAAAGAATAAATTTCAAGCTAGATACAGTAATGCTGTGGGGATATATAATAACTGAATAGTAATAGTCAAGTGGCTTTGCTATAGTATTGTTCTCCTGTAAGGATTGAATTTGGGCCAGTTATGGTGACACATGCCTGTAATCCCAGTTCTCTGAGAAGCTGAGTCAAGAGGAATACAGGTTTAAGCCCTTTCTGAGCAAACTAGTGGCTTGGTGAGACCCTAGCTCAAAAATTTAAAAAAAGGTTTGGGGATGTAGCTCAGTATGAAAACCCTAGGTTCAGTCCCCAGTAAACTACCCCCAAAGTTGAATTTGGAGAAGAGTTTTAAATGGAAAAGCTAATGTGGATTGCTAGCAAAATCAAAAGAGTATTTAGGTTGTACATATCCTTACTGCAAAGGCAAAGATTTTAGCAGACAAATACTGCCCAAGGAACTCTTCACAGTATCTGTGTCTATTGGATGAATTCTAATATAAAGAGTGCATATTTGCTTTTCATTCTTTTAAACTGTATCACTCCAGTTACATTGCTCTTCTCATTAATTAGCCATGTAAGAAAGAATGCTGTTTGGTCATTTATGTAACATACTTAAATAACTTCAACCTTTCTAATGTCTGATTTGTATGGTGATTCTATAGAAAACAAGGGGCCTTGGTTTAGAACTATTCAAAGGGAATTTGATTGAGTTTCTGAAGTAGTTTAAAACTGTCTTAATGTAAAATTATAAGGGGCTAGGAATTTAGCTCAATGGCATAAGCACCTGCCTGGCAAGCACGAGGTCGTGAGTTCAATCCCCAGTTCAAAAAAAAATATAAAAGTAATCTTGCCAGATGTAGTGGTGCGTGTCTGTTATCCCAGCTCTTGGGAGGTTAATGCAGGAGCATCGCCATGAGTTTGAGGCCAGCCTGGGTTACTTATGTTTCAACATCAGTCATCTGTCTGTCTGTCTGTCTCTGTCTCTGTCTCTGTCTCTGTCTCTGTCTCTCTCTCTCTCTCTCTCTCTCTCTCTCTCTATATATATATATATATATATATATATATATATATATATATATAAAACGTTTCAACACCAGTCTTTCAATATCCAATATCCAAAAGTGTAAGAAGGATTATGGGGGAGAGTTTAGCTAATAGAATAAACTTTTGGTCTAAAATATCATAATTTGTTGGTATTTTTTAATTTTTACTAAAGGGAAGACTTTTGGTAGCAGTTATACTTCTAGTAGTTGTGTCTATAGGTAAGAAACTTTAATGTGTTTTTTAATGATAGTGGGGTCTCAATAAAAGATTGGATTTTAGTGGTATTCTAGCTGAATTTGCGAAGAACATTCTCTTTCTAGTAACATTCACATTGCCTTAGGTCCACCTTGATGGCAGCCAGCCTCAAGAAAAGAAGTTATTTGGGCTTCAAGTAATGCTCAAAAACATTAAGAGAACAGATATTCAGAGAATTCATACCACATAAGCGCCTTCTGACCTCATCTTGTAATTTCAAGCATACATGTATGTACTATTCAAAAGTATAGAGAAAGGCTATATTCCTTCTCTTTTAGCATACTTGTGGCTAATATGAGAGAGACAGAGACTGAGAAAGAGACGATTTGGGAGAAAATTTGAGAAGGAACATATTCTCACACTCTTTTAGGGACTTTCCACCTTTTGTTCTCATCTATTTAATATGCTGCAGTCCCAATTTGTTTCTAAAACCAAAGTTCAAGTTTTTACTCCCAGGTAGCAACAGTTTTACAATTAAATTTTAATCCCTCTGTGTTAGACTCCTATCTAGAGTACAGCCACAGCTGTTCTTGGCAGGCAAACACATTGCTGTTTTTCCTTCAGTCATAGTGAGATAGAAAAATGTTCTCTGGCTGGGGCATGGATGAAAGCATTTTACTAATCTTCTACATAATTCATCCCTGGTTGCTGGGGTATTCAGAGTTGAAACTTTTCCCTCTGATAAAATTCAGCTGGATTTTTTTTTTTTTTTTTTTTTTTTTACTTGAGTCTGATCTCTTTGGGGGCTTAGTTCTTAGTGAGAGCCAGGGGATTATAATTCAGCTAAGTCCTGCCTCTGAAGATTTTTCTTATTATTTTGCTTTTAGTCTATTTTAGCTTATTGTAATACCACTTTTAAAATACACAACAAAACAAAAACTACTGGAACATGCAGTTCAGAGAGTTGCTCAGTATAGCTTATTGAATAGAAGGACTCTAAGATAGTAGGCTTATCTTACTTTGGTATCCAAGTTTAGGTTTTAAAAAGCCTCAGCATTTAAAATTATATTATTATATAACATGCTGTAATATGTTAACAATTGTAACACACTATGCGTCTTTGAGTTTTAAACTCATTGCATTAAGGTATTACTACTAATGGACTTATTTTTTTCATTCTTTCATTCAATGAATAAATATTTATTTGGTACCTTTATAAAATATAAAGTACAATCCATATTTCAAGTAGCTTATAGCCTAGAGAATAGGGGTCTTCAGAAAGGCGTGTAAATTACAATAAAGTATTACGATAAAGTAAAGGCTATTGCCACAATAGATTAGCTCATCTTTTCATATTCATGTAATTGGAAGTGACTGATGAGTTACTTCAAGTGCCTTTTCATAAAGTAACCCAAAAAGTCAATCTAGACTCACACCAGGCTGTTCCTTTCAGAAGAATTTATTTGGTTAGGGTTCTTTTAAGCCAAATAAGAAAATACAGAAGAAAACGTCTTTGTTTTGTTCTTTTTCAAATATATAACATGTAAGAATTTCATCTTTATACTGAGCTGCCAAAGATCATGTTTTTGTAAACAGTATGTTTATTGGAATAGTTTAAAATTCATCAAAAAAAAAACCATGAAGAGCTCCTCAACTGAAAATTTATCCAAGAAATATCTGACCTCACATTTACACAGTAACTGCCATAAAACAAAAACCTCCGTGCTTGTACATTTTCCTCTTTTGTATCCTCTCATTCATAATAATGACAGATTACTAGGTACTAAGGGCCATTCTGATTTTTAAAATGAAATAGTGTGATGTCATTGTGAAGAAGAATGGAATGGAAAGAGCTGGAACTAAAATTGACTGGTTCTTTATACGAGAGAAAGGAAGAGAGAAAAAGAAAAAGGGCCACTCTGAATTTCCAAAAACTCACTTGTTAATGTCAGAGTTGCATCCCTGCAGTCACTGATTCTGAAAACAGGAACACATCATGTTAATTAAAAAGCTAAAATAAAAGAATACTGGTATTATTGGGATAAGGCATAGAGTAAGTTTTTGCCTACTCTTCTAAGCTGGATTTTGTCCATCAATTCTACATCTTAGCAATTCTACTTCTTTAGAAGAGGAGCCACCTGGATGGTTTTTTCCCAAGCAACTAAAAATATTTCATATCTTTACTGGGCTGTTCCAGTCAAGTAACATATACTAACTGGATTAAGACCTTGGGTTAAGACCTTGGAAAACCTGTTTTAAAAAAGAACCTGTCCTTGAGAATTTTATACAAATTAGACATGTAATCAATGAATATGGAAAAATGACTGAGGTAAATGGAGTAGAAGAGTGGGCCAAATGCTGTTCTAAAGCATTGATGGCAAGGGCTTTTAGAGCTTTCAATGATACAAACAACCCACTGTGCCATGCTTGCTATAGATTTGCCACCAACCTTCTACAGCATTGAAGAATTTACTGATTTAAATCAAGGCTATAGTTGAAAAAAAGGTGGAATGATTTAAACAATGACTTGGAAGTAGAAGACTGAGGATCAGGCTTTGAAATTTACTGGTGATCATTATTTCACTTGCAATCCATCTGAACTTCCAAACCTGGAATAAGCAGAAACAATTATTCTTTGGACAGGTTAACAGAAGGCAGACCTCCACAAGGTGATTAAGATCATGATGACATCTTTTAATTCAGGAGTTTAATTTGTAGGATGTTGGTAAGAAGGCGCATTCATATTTCTAGGTGGTAATCCACTTTTATACATTCAATTGTGTTTCTTTTTATACTGGTGACTGTGTCCACTCACTAACCTTAGTTATCTACAGACTTTAAACTTGAGCGCCTTGAGAATATGTGAGGAAGCAACCATTTCCCATAGAACTCCTTAAAGATAAGAAACATAGTTATTTAGTCTTTTCTCTCTCTCTCTTGTTCACTTTTATCTTTGATATGATTACTATTGATAGGACATCAGTAGTAATCATATCTCTGGTTTTGCCTTAAATTCCATATTGAATTTTTTAAATGGTTTTTTGAGCAATAACTTTTTCCTGGTTGTTTAACCAGTCATACAAGTTAAGACTTCATTCTAGGCCTATTTTATATTAGCTGCTCTGGGAGAACGGATGAAAAATAATAAGTCAGTTAGACATTTTATGAATATTGAAATCCCTTCCATTCAGAAATTAAATAAAATAACCAGCACGAGCAATCAGCTTATGTCAGATTTCCATGGGTTTATGTTACATAGGGAAATTATAGTGCAACCTGAAACATTCATAGTGGTGTCATAGTTGAATGTAAACCCTTGAGCTTTTCTTTTGTGAAAGGCTTCAGAAATCACCTTTTATAAACTACCAAGGGAAGGGGGAAAACTAAGATGATAATAACAAATGCTATCCCTGTTAGTGGCTGCCGCCCTTTTAGCACCAAACAGTGCCAGTTAAGTAAAGCATAAACCTAAGATACTGCTTACTTTTCAGCTTATTCAGTGCACACAAAAAATATATACTCAATGTCATGCAGAGAAGTTTGTTAAAAAGTATGATGGAAGCCTGGGAAATAGTTGTTTTTACCTCCAGCAAATTCCAGAAACCAAAAATGAATTAGAGATCATGAAATGAAAATTTGTCTCCCATCTTTGGCTGCCGCTCCAGTGCCCTATACTAGAACTCTTTCCTCATTTGTCAGTGAAATGGTTTTGCTGTCTTTTGCAGTTCTTCTATATTCAGTATGGCCTCAGATACGATAAATTTGCGAGCCAAAAAAATCTAATATATCAAACAGAATTTGGGGGGACCAGTTAAGTTTTAAATTTGGGAAAGAGGAAAAAATATATGTTTTAATTTCTTAATGTACATTTAAAAATGTGTTTCTGCATTTTAATTTCTTAAGAGTTTGGGTTTGATTGATATCATGTTCTGAGCCCAGAAACCTACATTAATTTATTACAATTTGGGCTAGGATATTTAATATTTCTACTTAGCCCATAATTTCAAATAATCAGGATATATATTTAGTAATATATAGCATTTTGTTGATCTTTACAATACATCTCTTTTAGTCCCTGTATCAAATGAACTTATCCTTGTGCTTTCTTATAGGTTCCTTGGTGTTTACTAACATAGATCAAGATCTTTGTGACTTTATAAGGGACTCTAAACCATTTGACACTCTAGGTACATAAATCACCACACATTATGTAAGCTTTGATCTCAGCACTGTAATTTCTCTGTATTTTCCAATGTCTACCATGTGTATTGTCTTGAAACTCATTACATAGTACTTGCATATTCTTGTTTCTAAGGTTTGGTGCATACCAGTTCCTTACTTTAGAATGCCTCCTGCCGAATATCCTCAACCATCAACCACTTCATGCTAAAGTCACCTCCTGGAGAAAGCCATCTCTGATTAATCTTATTCACCTAATTCTTTTAAGACTTCTATTTCTCAGAGTGTGTGTGTGTGTGTGTGTGTGTTTCTGTACACTGTCAACCTACAAGCCTAGTGATACCAGAAATGATGATCTTCCTCTGTTCCTTTGCCTTTGTTTATTCTACCACAAAGGCCTATTGATGACCTTTACAATGCCCTCAGAGTTCTAGCCCACCTTTAGTCTCTTTCCTTTCACTTTAGATTCCTAGAGAAACAAGGCATGTGATAGGGATTGGCCTGCACCTCAGTTTGCCTGTGGCACCCTGCTGAATAGGTCCCTACGGTGAGAAGGATTTAACCATTTGGTTTGATAGTCTCTGTATTCTATTCGGATACCTATAAGAAGTAGATATAAGACCAAGAGATGGGAATTGGGAAATTTCCACTGACAGCCATTATCATTTTCCTTTCTTTTTAAACAAGACCTATGAAGTGCTTTCATCAGCAGCTCCCCTACACTCTCCTGCTCTGCCTCTTTTCCAGGAGTCAGGGTTAGTTTAAGAAAAAGCCTTTTGCTAGAAGCCATGACCTGTACTTTTATCCCCTCCATCTGGTGTGCGGCCTCATGGGGTTGTGCTGCTATGCAGGAGGTGAGCAATGGAATTCTTTAGATGATGACTTCTGAGCCCACATGCGGAGGCAGTGGGGGTGGGAAGCAGGGAGAGCAGTGAGAGCCAAGATCGATGGACCAAAAAGTAAGGTTTGCGAGGGGAAAAATCCTGACTATAGGTAGACTATTTTCCTGAGGTGTTCTTCTCCTAGCTCAAGCAGGGGCCCAGGTCAGGCAGCTGTAGCTTCTCAGGTCTGTGATTGATGAACGTTATGTTCCTGCTACTTTCCCCTCTGCCTTCACAGTTGGGGTGCACCAGTGGGATAGGTAGGGTATTCAGGGCTTTTACTGTCTTTAATGGAATGCATTCCAGGGCCAATCGGGAAGGGTTCCCCTTGCTGCTTTTTCTGTCTTGCACCTAAACAGAGGTCCAGATTTTGAATGAGGGTCAAAGGAGGGGTTGTGAGCAGCAAGGTTTTTTTGGTTTTTTGACTTTTTGAGACAGAGTTTTCTATGGGTTCAGGATGACTCCTTATATAGTCCAGGCTGGCCTCTAACTCACAGAATCCTTCTGCTTCAGCCTCCTGAGTACTAGGATTGCAAGCATGTGCCACCACACCTGGCTTAGCAGCAAGTTTTGATCAAGTGAAAATATGCTGTCTGTTCTATCTCACAGGGATTTCTGTGCAGGGTAGATACCCCTTATATTGGTGTAGATGAATTTCTCATTTCAGTTACAAGTCCCAAGATCTTTACTAGGCCCTAAATAGGCATCTGGCTTGAGCTAGAATGTATATTTCTTAGCACTTTCATTCTCTGTTTTTTCCTAAGCCAGGGATTGACATCATTTTTTAAAAGAATGAAATTTCAAAGGAAATTCAAATGTGTACTTTAAGAGCCAAAAGTCCTAAAATTCTTCTTATGCTTTTTCATGACTACTTCCACTCTGCTACACATATAGCATCACTTGAGAAGAATTACATAAAATCAAAACAAATTTTAATGTTTATCTGAAGGGAGGAAAAAGAAAAAAAACTAGGAGCCAAAGTTGTTTAAATGTAGAATACTTTGTAATTCCTTGATAGTCATATGATGGTGGCTAAAGTAGTAAAAAGGGTATTTGCTGAGGTTCAGGAAAGCACACACTGTTCCTTTATAAAACTACTCAGATACACTCTCCTGGCAGTCCTGGAACTCCTATTGGTCTTAAACAATTTGTAGTAATTTCTGTTCTGAGAATGCCAGTACTCTGGCACTCCTAAGTGTAGGTATCCTGAGGCTGTGAGAAAATACACACAATTTGAAGTCAGAAGACCTTGGTTTGAGTTCTGGCCAGACTTGTCACCGTCTACGTCATCTTGGACAAATCTCTGAATCACTCTCATAAAATGAGCATAAGCCTACCTCACAGAGTTGAGAAGGTTACATATATGACACCCCATGGAGTACTGCCTAAAACCTGTCAATCAGGACAGGTTTTCAACAAGGGAAATCTTAGTTCAGTGCAGTAACTGTGATATATTACCACAGTAAAGGTACTATTATGTCTCTTCCAGTGCCTCTCTCTTATGGAAATCATCCCTAGAATCCAAAGCTATCCTGTTTTCTAACCCAGTGAATGTTAAAAAAAGAGTAATAGGTCATAAGCAGGAAGCATAGCAATTATATATACTTCATGCAGTTACAAGAAATTGCCCCTTCATTCAGAACACACAGGATGCATATCACTATCTTGAGCATCAACCAGTCTTGAGAAATTATACAGCCTCAGCCACTCTGGTTGGGTCATAATTTTCCACCCTTGGTGTCTTCAGTGTCCTTCCCCTTCTCAGGGGAGTACCAGTTTGAAAACCAAACATTTGCTTGCATGTCGATAATGTAACTGTACTATTCCTTGGTTAGGAGTAGACTGTTGTGGGGGTTTTTTAAATGATTTGTTGGTAATCTGTTTGCTTTTTTTCCCTGGGGAGTCCAGTACAACTCTTATACAGCCTGAAGAAAGCTGTATGTGTGTCCACATAGGTGTGCCTTGTGTTTGTACCTATGTATGCTCCTGATTGTACTCAGGCTGCCAGAAGTGAGGAAAGAATGAAAAGGAAGCATTTCTTTTTTTAACCAACATTTTTCATAGATGCCCAACCCCCATAGTAGCAAGCAGTTCCCAAGTGGAAGGTGGGGGCAGAGGCCTCCACCAAGGCCATCAATAACCAGGTGTGAGCTACAGGTCTCTGTGTAATGTGAAGCTCTCCCGTATTTCATTTCTGCACCCAGGGGGCGGCTTTGCAGGATTGCTTACGGAGAGCTCTGTGTCTGGCACCTCTCTCCACAAGGCCCAGGCGCCCAGGGTCCCACCGACCTGCCCAGGAATGCATCACATTGTTCTCTGGTGCTGTAATTTGGCTGCAGGAGCTAAACTGAATGCCTCCCAGGGATGAGAAACATGCTCTTCCTGGCATCCTCCCTTCACAGCTAGCTTGGGCTTCTCCACTATGACCACTGAGCGCTTTTAAATAAAAAACCTCAGAAAGGCTAAGGGAGAACAAAATCCTTATTATCTGTCTTCTATTAAGCCATGTAAAAACCCATGTCCTGCATGGGTCTGAGAACTTGGCAAAGGACTTAGTGATTGGTGATCTTGATAAAGGGATCTGAGAGAAGGAAGAAATACTGCAACAAGAAAGACCAGAAATGAAACGCTGAGTATTCGTAAGTTAGATCCATAAAACTGTTTGCAAATAGACAACATAAGGGTTTTAATTAATCTGAAACCCTTCATTGACTTTTAAAGCATTTCTCTATGCAAGAGTATGGATTAGTGCCATTATTCAGAGATAATAATAAAAGCGTTCTTATCTGTAGGGCTAAGTTAAGGCTGGCATTCTTAAGAAAAACTACAGGCTGTGCCACACTGCTGAAGTACTTCAGTCATGTGGTTTCTTTAAAAAAGCATAGAGATAATATCTTTTAAGTTAACCTTGTATCCAAATAGCACTTGCTGCAGTCTATTATATCTAACATCAAAAGTTAAAAGAAAAGAGGTCCAACAAGGAGCGGAAGATAGGAGCGAGGCTAAGACAGCTGTAGGAAGAACAGACATCAAGTGGAGAAGGATCGGAAAGAGGGCACTGACAGGCAGAATGAAAGAGTAGCAGCAGAATTAAATGGAGCCTTACTGCACCAAATAAAGTTCTGAGTTTTGTGACTCGTTCCAAATAAATTAGTTTTTGTTTGTATAATGCAGAATGAACGCCAGTTGTCTAAAGCCAATCGGAATGCAGAGGCGAGCTAAGGACTAAGAGGAAAAATTAATTGCTTAGCCATCTTTCCTACTTGGGCCACCCAGGTTCAGTAGTGAGGCTCAAAAAGACATTTCTCTTGCTTATCAACTTCACTTTTCAAAATTCTGTGTGGACAGTTTGCTGTTCTTAATCATTTAAAGGAGACTGCAAAACTTGTGTCTTTATAAACTAAAATTCATAGTGCAGGGAAAAAAGCACAGACTATGTGAAATGCTAGAAGAGGTTCACTCAGTTCCTTCCACGGGATGAGAATCACAAATGAAGACATTAGGGCACAGGCAGATAACTTCCCAAGGAAGGCCTAAACCATCACTGATATAGTAAACTGGTTGTTCTTAGGAGAGCTGGCTGGGACTGAGGTTCTTCCCAGCAGCCTGGTATACCAGGCAGTATTTTTAAACTTATTCAGTACTATTTGATTCAGACTGACCATGACCGCCTTGCCTCCCCACTACCCCCAAAGCTAACCTTTTCTTAATCCCAGCCCAAGATATCAGGGGCTCTTCTTTCCCCACTATATTTCCCTCTACCCCAGTCCCACCAATGGCTCATCAGTTATCCAGTTGACTCTACTCTGCAAGGAAGACATTCCCTTAGCCTGACTCACTCAGTCTCATTTCTCCACAGGCATCCCCTCACCACAGACCACAAGGGCTCTGATTAGCTCATGTTTTGTGTTAATGGATTTAAAATTGGAGCAGATCCCCTCACCAAAAGAAAAACCACCCTAAACTCTCCCACACAGGTCTCAGCAGGTTACACAAATATTAGTCCTATCATCCAAATAAATCTGCCTCCGTGGCCCAAAGCTGAGGTTCTTCCAATCTTCTGCTGCCTGTGCAGAGTGAAGTTGCTCCACAAATATTTGAGGACCCTAAGGGATGTTGCAGAGGACCCTGGGAAAGGAAGGGGGGGTCTGTATCTAGAATTCCTTGTGTAAAGCCCTTAACCTAAAGCCTGTTGTCACAGTCATACAATTCTAAATTGAAAATTCCTGGAGATTTATGATAAACTTGATTAGTTAAGAACTGTGGTAAAAAGTATGTATCTGGTGGCTGAAGTCTGCAGCATAATTAAGTTTCAATATCTAAAATGGGTACATTTTACAGATGAGAAAATAGAGGCTTAGAAAATTTAATTGTCTTGATAAAAATAAAAACAAGTGACACAGCTGTAATTTCAATGCAGGGCTGTTATAACTGTAAATTTCTACATCACTCTGCTGTTTTAAAATATTAACAGGCAAGAGATAACCACTGTCAAAACACGTAAGTCAATTAGGACATCAAAGTTTTTGGACTCCCATGTCCTATCCTCCAGTTTACTAATGAATCTACTATCTTTAGAGACTCCACTACTTCACACCTTGTTAGGTAAGGTAGTAGCATAGAAGGAATCTTCCCCTATTTCAAATATGAATAGTATTAATCACTAGGACTTGGAGAGTCACTAAAGATTTGTTGAGTAAATAGGAGGACCTTCTAAGTTGTTACCGTTTTGGCTCCAAGCCCCAGCTCTCTTTCTTTATGTAGACACTGGCTCCACTTCTAGTTTCAAAGGTTAGGACCCTCTCCTAAAGAATTATAAAAGCCAAGTTGGATGCTGCACACTCCTGTTATGCCAGCTACTCAGGAAGCTGAGACAGGACAATCCTAAGTTTGAGGCCAGTCTGAGCAACACAGCAAGACCCCATTTCAACAAAAGAAAAAAGAAAAAAAGGCCAGGGATATAGCTCAGTGGCATAGCACCTGCCTGGCAAGCATGAGGTTGTACGTTCAATAAAAAAAATTTTTTTTTGTCTTTTTCGTTTTTATCGGTACCAGGGATCGAACTCACGACTGCCTGCTTGCAAGGCAGGCACTTATGCCGCTGAGCTAAATCCCCAGCCCCAATTAAAAAAAAAAAAAAAATTAAAAAAAAAAACCCAAAACAGAGGTCCCTATATTTCTATCATACACTGGCCTCATATAGCCAGCCTGCTTACCTCTCCCATTCTTCATGAGTTATCTATCAGTGTGATTCCCAAACCTAGCTAACCTTCAGAATAATGAATGGGGAAAAATCCCTAGGCCTACTCAGACTTACTCTATTATTCTCTCCTAGTACTGTTCCAAGCTGTTTTCATGATTTGTTAGGCATGAGAACCTATTGTATGCCACCTCAGTTTGAGCAGGCAGCAAGTGAACAAAAGAGGCAGTGCTATCTGATATATGGAAAAAAGAGAGAATGTGTATTTGTATAGTTACATGATTTCCCCCTCTAAACAGCAGTTAATAAACTGCTGACCTCTTGTCTAGCAATCTCAGTCTCTCCATAGTACAGTGATATAGTTCATCTTTTGGGTACCAAGACATCTCCTCATACTGTCTCCAGGGTAGGAACATGTAGTTTCATCTCTGTCTTATCTATTCTCAGCCAGGGCAGGATTAAAAGGAAGCAGTCTCCAGAGATCCTTTCTCTTGCACACCCAAGAAGTATTAGGAAACCAGTGCAAAGAAAGGAAAAATGAGTTTTGACCTTGAAAAATGGTACTTTAGTGCAACTCAGATTACTCTGAAGACCCCCCTACATCTCTTCTGCTTTCCCTTCGAACCTACAGGGGGAAACCAGAGAGCCACTCAGTTTCTTATATTCCCTATCAACTCCTTCCCAGGGCTAAGGAACCAGCTAGGACACCATGGTCCCTTTGGATTACTCCCCAAGTCTTTAAATAGAAGCTGTAGCAGCCCAGGGTTGAGGGTGGAGGAAGGTGTGCATGCAAGGTTCTTGTGCTTTTTGAGTTGCAAGGCTTGAAGTAGAGGGATGAGTGAGGTATCCGTATCTTCAGGTCTGGTCCAGCCACTCTGCCTTCTTGGGTGCCTTGCAAGTGTGGACATCCACAGTGTTTCTGCACTCCTTGCACCGCACAGCACAGCACCAGTGGAATTTGCACTCACACTGGGTGACACGAGTGACTCGAGTTGTGTCATACCCTCGGCCACAGCACATGATTTCACAACCGTCTGTTCCTTTAGATGTCTTGCTACAGACACGGCCTGCAGTGCCTAGGGAACCTGGATTGGGGAAGAGGGGGAGTGAGAACCAAGTTACTTCTCCCTTTAGTTCTTCTGGGCAGTCTTACCCACATTCTCAGAAGCGAGTCATCAAATAGCTTTTTCTGAAAATATACCCACTATATAAATGGACATCTCTCACTACTCTCTGCATTAGGTTTATTTCTTCCTACCATCAAGGCTTCCTAAAGGCCATTGACTTCACCTATAGTTCCCTTCCAGCCAGTACGTATTTTCATTATCCCCTTCACAGTCTAACCTTAAACTTGGAGTGATGGTGCACACTTTAAATCCTAGCACTCTGAGGCAGGGGGCTCACAAGTTCCAGCCCAGCCTGAGCAAATTAGCACTTAGTAAGACCTTACCTTAAAGTTAAAAATTAGAAGAAAGCCTGGGAATACAGCCCTATAAAGGCCCTGGTTTAAAATGACCAATACTGCCAAAATTTTTTTTTACAAAAGAGTAAAAATTTTCATAACTATTAAAGCTGGGCAAGAGAGTTCTCTATGTTTGAAATTTTCCACAACAAAATAAAACAATAACAATAGCAACAACAAAACTTAGCTTATAACTTCTAAGAAGTTGCACTATAAATCTGATCCTCTATTTGTGTATTTTGTCCTTTTGTTTATATTTCATTCAGTTGTAATATATAGGAAAGTATAGCATGACCATTGAAAGCACAAGCCTAGACATCAAATTGTAGGGATTTAAATCCCAGTTCTGCTACTTCTCAGTTGTATGATTCAGCAAATTAAAGGATGCCTCTAAGCCTGAGCTTTCTCATAAGAAAATGAACATAATAATATCCAATTTAGTAGGCTATTATAGCTACAATCTCTGTCCAACTAAGGAGGTACATTGCTCGCATGTTTAGCTAGATGCATAGGTCCAAGAAGTTCCTGAGGAATATCCCTTGCATGAGTCCCTTAAAGTAGGAACTCCTGAATGATGTTTTCTCCAGCTTAGAGAAACTTCAGGACCTCATACTGACAGATTTTAGCAAACAGGATCTTTTGGTAGGTAACAAAGTCATGCTGGGCACTAGCATAGTGCGTGCCTGGCTAGTGTGAGGTTGTGAGTTTGATTCCTGGTACAAAAAATAAAAAACAAAAAAAACAAAGTCATGGAATTTTTGGTGGATCACATTTCAACATGTCTCCTTATTAATAAGGACCCAGAGTCAGGAGAAAGACTAACTTAAGAGTTCAAGAAAAATAACAGATTAACTGATTTCAACCACAATAGTCTGGGATATGGGAAGGAAGGATGCTAGAACTTCTGTGTTTATTTTTTTTACCTCATTGGTTCAAAATAATCTATTTTAGGGCCGAGGGGGATAGCTCAGTGGTAGATTGTTTGCCTAGCAGGTGCAAGGCCCTGGTTCCACAGTACTGCATGTACGCACACACACACAAAACATAGATAAACAGACATAGATATAGAGATATATATATACACACATATATACATATATATAGCAGGGCCACCAGTCCTTTTTTTTGTTTTTAAAGATAGGCTGTCACTATATAGCCCAGGCTGGCTTTGATTCTCCTGCCTCAGTCTCCCAAGTGCTGGGATTATAGGCATATGTTACCACACCCAGCCAAAAAAGTGTATTTTTGATGCATGCTTTATAATATACCTGTCAGGACAGTGGAACGTAGACATAAGTAAATATGCATGTAATGGTGGTACTTCCTCAATTTTTTAAACAATAGGAGTGAATATACAATCCACAGTATTAGGAGATCAGTTCACTGCTCTAGCATGTGAGCTGACTAGGTCTACTACATATATTATTCTTCTAACTCCAAGGGCTAGATCTTAAGTTCTTCTCTTTGGCATCAGAGCACACTTTCAAACTCTGGAATTGTGCCTTACAGTCTATAGTAGATATGAGCTATATGGAGTCTTTTAAGTTTTGATTCATTAAAATTTAAAAAATTCAGTTTCTTAATCGACTAGCTATACAGTAGTCCTCCTTTTCTGTGGTTTCATTTTCTATAGTGTTAGTTACCCATGGTCAACAGTGACCTGAAAATATTAAATGGAAAATTCCAGAAATAATTCATAAATTTTAAATGTTTTATTATATTATTAGAATTGTTTAATTTGGGGCTGAGGATGTTGCTCAGTGATAGAGCATCCTGCCCAGATGTTCAAGGTTCACTACCCAAAGCTCCCCTCATTCCATTTCAGAATTGTCAGTGGCAGCACAATGAATATAGGTTTTCAAGATCTTCCCTGCCAGAAATCTTGACTTAGTCATACTAATCTGCTGTGTCCCTAAAACAAGTCATGTGCCTTTCCACCTATCCCTTTGCTCATACGCAGAGAACATCTGCCTGGTCTTCTCTATTGCTGTTCAGATAATCACATACTTCAAGAAACTGCTTAAATTCTACATTTCCAAATAAACTTATTTTTATTTCTCTTGCATTTGCTTATGCATTGCTTTGCAAATGGTAGACAAGTGCTCTAATCACTGAGCTACATCTCCAACCCCAATCTTATTTTTTTAGCTAGACTGTAAAGAACCAAAGGCTTAGTGCTATACTTTATGTTTTTGTATAGCCCTCAATATTGGTTGTAACCCAGAACCAGGTAGTTCATTTAAACATCCTATACTTCAGGTGCTGGAAATACAAAGGAGTGACTTCAGGCCTCAAGGAGCTGAGTAATCTCCTCTCCACTTGGAGACCACAGAGCCTAGTAGACTGAGGCATAAGGTCACCAATTTCATGCCCAAGTTTTCATGTGAGGAGGAAAATGACTCCTCCCACAGCACGCCCTTCCCTACATAGCACCTACAGCTTAACAGACCATGATTCAACAATAGAACCTGTGCTAAGAACCTGGGCTTCATAACTCCCCCTGCTTCTCTTACTTACCTGCAGCCTTGTCTAAGACACAGTAGTCTGGAGAGTTATCAAAGTAGACAAGATCAGTACGGGTGGCACGGCGATAGCCTTGGCGGGCTGCTGTGAAGTTGGCACCATCTTGGGTGGCTGTCACCTGCACAGCCCCATCGTAACGCCGCCGCAAGTAATCTCCTGTGCGGCGGAAGTCTGAAAGTGCACGCCAGCAGGTACGTAAAGTACAAGAGCCACTCACGCCATGGCACTTACACTCCAGCTTCAGAAATCGCCGTACAGCCTGGGGAAAGAGGAGGCAGGTAAGGAATAGGCACTGGTCAGAGAACTTTTTAGTCATCCCAGGGACCAAAAGCATGAGTCATCTGAGATCCACCAGCATAGCCAGCTGGTTGAGCCCTTGGTGGTTCTCCCAGATCCCACCCATTCTTCCTAATCAAGAAAAAGAAATTTGTCTTAGCTAGAGGTGATGCCACATGCTCATAATCCCAGCACTCAGGAGGCTGAGGCAGGAGTTATACAGCAAGACCTTGTGCCAGAAAACAACACTAAAAAAAAGAAACTTCTAAGCCTAGCACTGTGGCATATGCCTACAAATCTTGGCTATTGTGGAGGTTCAGGCAGAAAGATCACAAGTTCAAAGCCAGCCTAGTAAGTCAGTGAGATACTGTCTCAAGGCAGTGGGGTAGAGGGGAATATAGTTCATTGGTGAAGACTTGGGCTTACTCCCAATACAACTGAGTGAGACAGAGACAGAGAGACAGACAGAGAGAGACATAGAGGGGAATGGGCCAATTATATCCTGCTCTAAGAAATCTTCCTGGACCAACAGGGCTTTCCTTGTCATGACAGCCTAATGGGATTATAGAGTCACAGAATTCTGTTTATGATTACAGTCTTACTTGCATATCCTTTAGTTCTCACATGTGTTAAGAGTATGAAGTACCATGCATTCTGCTTTTGTAGTAGGTCATTTTCTAACACAGTATATATGAATGTTCAAATACCAGTAAACAGATAGCTCTTTTCATCTTTAAAAGTCACTTCTGCTTAGAGCTATGCTCAGTGGTAGAGCACTTGCCTAGTATGCATGAAGCCCCTATGTTTGATCCCCACTACCATAAAAAAATTACTGTTTTTTCCTACTTTTTAGTGCTCCTGTTGCAGGAATGTTGGGCTTTTGAAGTGATCCAGAAGTCTTCAGTTCTCCCATATTCACATTTAGTCTTTAGTCACCCCCTGAATGTACATGCAGGCATGAGTACTGACCGTGCGACCACAGCGGTTGTTATGTAAGTTCATGAGGGCCCGGGCATCCTTAAGTCTCTTCTCCTTGGCATCCACAAAAGCCTTGGCAAAGCGGACGCCATAGTGGATGTTGTCACTGCAGCCACCCCAGTCAAAGTCCCCACGCTGGTCATGGTGTCGACCACGAGTATAGGGGTCACAGCTACACACACTCAGTTCACCCTGACTGCAGGCACGAGTGATTGCATGGACCACTCCTGCTGATGAAATGGCATATACAAATGCTGCCTCCCGGCTACCTACAAAGAGAAAGGTAGAGGAGTATTTCAAGAAAAAAGCCTATATCGTCGTCGTCTTCAACCCACACAGCCTCAGAAACCTCTCCTCACCATTCCCAGAGCCACCCACCCCCTCCTACTTACCTTTCATTCAATGTGCCCTTCCCTTCCAAGAACATTCCCTAATGCACTGGTGGTGAACCTATGGCAGGCATACCACAGCAGGCTGTTTGTATCATTGAAGCTCTATCAGGTTTGCCATCACTGCCTCCTCTGTCAGTCTCAGCTATTCTCTATCTTCTTCTTTGTACATCTGACCTCTTATTTCCTTTCAATTTCCTTGGATCCTTCGGAGGAAATTGGAAAGTCTCAAGCTGGATCATCCTCTCCCACTCCATGCCCACACTGGTACAGCTAAGCCTGCCTTAGTCCACATTCCAGACCTTTTAGGCCCACTCTGCTGGACAGTTCCTTGACAATGCAGACGCTAGCCCAAGGAGAAACAGGCTACCTTCCCCTTTCTATTCTCAACTCCCTGCTCTTGGGGACAGATTAATCATCCCCCTTGTATCTGAAACCTCCACATTCCCAACTCATTCCCTTTCTCTCAGTTTACTATCTGGCTCTTAGTTTTTTTCTGAACAGGGACCAAGCCATTGACTCTCCAAATATTTACGTATCACCTTTCTGTTTATCTCTTGTTCCCATTACTGTAGTGTTGGGAATGTTAGAGTGATGGTAGTGATGGTGAGAACTAGAGAAGCTATTCCTAGTCCTCAGCTTTACAGTGCATGGAAGCCCCTTTGTTAGGAGGTGGGAAAGGCAGAGAAAATGAGGGAAGATGATGGAGGTGCTAGGAAACGCTTTACATTCACCCCACAGCACTGGCTTTAGAGACCCCTGCCTACAAATCTGAGGTACTGAGGGTCTGTTCTGAACTATATCCTGTGCCTTGCTCACAATTATTTGTCTGATTATGAAGTATAAGAGACAGGGAATTGTGCCTAACCTTCTCGCTTCATACCCAAGCATAGAAAGGGAAAGAGCTAGGGAAGGATAGAAGGATCCCCTACTTCTGAGCATAACACGGCCAAAGACTGTGTGGTCCCGGTCCAGCGTGGTGCAGTTCCAGCGGTGATGGCGGAACTGGTGCTGACACTCTCGGATCCATTCTCGGGCGCCTTCCCCCACTGAGCGCATGATATCTGGGTAACGCTGGCACAGCTGCCGCTGCCGGCTCACCAAACCAGGAATATTGTCACAGATCACTCGGGCCCCTAGTGCCCCGATGTACCTGTAAGGTGGAGATGGTCCTGTCAGAGCACCTCAGTCCCTTTTTCTGCATGGGTGGGTGGGTGCAGTTTGGTATCTAGAGCCTAGAGAAATTTACTCCCCTTCCCCATCCCACATTCCCAGAAGCTGATCAGTAGAATCAGTCCCCATAAGCTCTGGAGAAAGTTATACAGAGCAGAAAGAGTATGAGTGGTCTCCCAACATTACTAGTTCCTCAGTGAAAGGCCAAAGTGACACACATTCCCAGAGTACAGAGCAGGCATATGTCTTATACACAGAAGCTGTGGGCATATCACACAAACCCATTGCCTGTTTATTTAAGAAACATCAAGATCCTACAGAAAAATAAACTGACAAAATGAAGGTCTGAGCCAATACTCTTACACGCACATGTAAGAGCATGTCTTGAATAACTGGTCCCTTACAGATACGATTTGGCAGCAGGGAGATGGGGACAGGCAGGGACTACCAAGGGGGCTGCCAGGAAGAGGCACAGTGGACAACTGTGAATAATATTTACAACTCTAGTGAGACTTACATAGCTTAAAAGTTTTTATTCCCAGTCCTGAGGTCTGGTGAGACAGCCCACCCCAGTTCTCCGCCCCATTCTCTTTATTTCAGGGTCCTAGAGTCTTAACTAAAGAAACTTTTAAAATCTATGTATCCAACGTATTAGACACAGTGTCCTGGTTGGAACTATATGGGCAGAGGAATGGCTGTGGTGGGAAACCAAAGGCCAAGATAAAGTACTATAGTGCCCAGTCTGTTCAATATGAGTGTTTATGAGAAGATCAATTGGTATGGGGCTATTAAAGTATATGTGGGTTGCTAGAGACATTCTCAATTTTCTCAAAACAATTATTTTTTCATCTTTGAAACATTCTATTCTTAGATGCTCCACAAGCCTCAGAAGAATGTTTTGGAGAGAAAACAGGATTATATCACCCTTTTTCCCCAAAAGGCAACCAAAAGAGATCAAACCATTCACCTACACTCTCAACAGTCCAGCTCTGCTTCTCCTTTCTAGCTGTCCAACCCCGCATAAAACACTTTCCCTAACCTGCATGCATTGTTTTCATATCCAAAACATATCAAAAGGATGTCCCCTTCCCTTTGCAAAACAGGTGGGGGCTGTAGACAGCAGTTCCTGCTACAGACAGAAAAGCTGTGGTCTGAGCTATGAGTGAGCCAGTGGTTTGGGAACAGCCCCAAAATGAGCCCAGAAGTGGGTGAAGAGAAAGAAGGGCAGCTAGTGGGGGAAGGGAAAAGCTAAACTGCCCTGGGGCCTGTGTCCCCTCCTCCTGTGCATTCCCACAGCCAGCCCTCACCCACAGACTGGATCACCACTGGTGACACCAACTCAAACAAACACAAGGAGGGCTGATGCTTGCCTCTTCGGGAACTCAGCAGGGCTGATGGGCCCCATCTGTCCCGAGGGAAGGGTAAGAGGGCTGGCCTCCACTAACAAATCCCATAGAATCACTGTCCCCAGCACTGTCCATCAGGGCAGCAGCTTCCAGGAACAAACAAAATAAACACCGAGGCTAGGCCAGGCCAGGCCGGAAAGGGCTGCCTGACGCACAGTCAGGAGTTACACCCACTGCTGTGGTGCTTTGTTTGGAGAATCAAGATCTTTGGAGTTGGACCTCATCCTCGACTCTCACCACCACGTTCTGCTTCTCCAGCTCAGCCCCACAGTACTGCTGTATGCAATGGGTGTTTGTTTTTTTGTTTTGTTTTTGTTTTTGTTTTTTTTACTGGGGCTTGGGAGGAGGGGGGCTGGACGGGAATGGGAGACCAATAAACCAGCCCTCATGAGACAGTCTGGAATTGGGCAGGCCAAACTGGCAAAAAAGGCCTTCCTGTGGTCTGACTTAAGTTCATTTTGCTGCAGCCCACATTGGTCCTTCTTATTACATCCTCAATGAGCGTGGGAACATCTGTTCAGTAGCTAAGATGGGAAGATAATTAAGTTTTCCCACTACCATACCCCAATAATAACTACTTCAAGACTGCAGAACATGGAGCCTGCCTGCTGTGCAGTAGTTGGCTCCCTGTAGTCAGTACAGGGTTCCTAATAATGTTGAGCCTGAGCCTAAGCCTGTCTTCCTCACTGTTTAACCCATGCTTGCAAAATGTCTATCAAATGCTAAGCACTGAGCTCAGCTGGTAGGGGCACAAAGATGTTTAAGGAATCGCCTAGCTCCTGGTCTGGGAGAGAATACCAGATGCCTAACTCTCCAGCTTTGCCTGCCTTTCCAAAAGTTAGTTCTTTACTTCCGTTCCAGCTTTCTACTGGAATGATTTCTCTTTACTTGCTTCATATTTCTTCCTTTGATAGAGTGACTCAAAGCTCCTTGCTACTCAAAGTATGGTCCCAAAGGAACAGTATCTGCCTCAGCTGGGGATTTGCTAAAATGCAGATCCTGATGCCCCACACAATCCAACATGGACGCACTGCTCCATAAAGACAGGACATTTTTTTTTTTAATATACTACAGATCAAACCCAGGGTCTTCCACCCCATGCTGGACAAGTACTCTACCATTGCTGTATTCCTAGCCTTTTCTTTTTTTGTCTTTTTCCTTTTTATCGGTACCGGGGATGGAACTCACGACTGCCTGCTTGCAAGGCAGGTGCTTATGCCGCTGAGCTAAATCCCCAGCCCCCGAGACCAGAGATTTTTGTCTCTCTCGTTTTTGTCTTGGGTGTACATGGTGCTGAGAATCAAAACGCCAGCCTCACACGTGCTAGGCAAACATTTTGCCATTGAGTCATATCCTAGCCATTTGTTTCTTTTGTTCACTTAAATATACTCAATACTGAGAACTTATCTGGCACACAGTAGGTACTCAGTAACTATTTGTTGAGTAAACACCTGACTACTGATTTAAATTTCCATCCTCTCTAGCCAGCCATAAACTTATTTTTTTAATTTTATTTTGACAGAGTCTCACTATGTAATTCATGCTGGCCTTGAACTCACTAAGTGGACTAGGCTGGCCTTGAACTCATGACAGTTCTGCCTCAGCCTCCTGAGTACTGGGATTACAGACATGCACCACCATACCCAACTTGATTAAACTTCATTTTAGTTATAGTTATAGTTTTACTCCTTGTCAACATCACTAGTCTATCTGTAGATATTTTGTGTTTGTATCTTTTTAATAAAGACTAACGAGCCTTTTTTTTGTCTTTTTGTACTGGGAATTGAACTCATACCTCACACTTGCTAGGCAGGCACTCTGCTGCTGAGCTACATCTCTGGTCCTAAAGAGCCCCCTCTCCTTTTGTGTTCATTTAGTATACATGGTTCCGCCCATTACATATAGTACTGGAATCTGCCCTTTATTTCACAGCACTTGGATAATACTTTACAATTCACAAAACATTTTCTGCATAAAAACGAAGAGAGGGAGCAATCTTCATTTTATAGATGAAGAAAGTAAAAAATTCAAGGATACTAACAGAGTATCTGCCCTGTCCATCAGGCCTAGTCAAAGGAGAACCAGGATGAATGAAAGCCATCTGACTCCAAAGTCCAGGTTTATTTTGGTTCCAAAGACAAGAGAAGCACACAATGCTTTCATAGGAGTAGACAAATTAGGCTCCAAAATTGACGTGAGCTTTGGCCAGTTTGCTCCCATCCTATCTCTCACTTTCACTTATGAAATAATCATAATCACAGTACCTACCTCACTGGATTATATATGGGGATTAAAGAAAGCAGTGCTGAGATGCTTGGCCACAGTACCTGGAGCTTGGTAAAGGCTCATTAAATGGAAGCTATTCTTGGTAACAGTAATACTAACCTGGTACCACTCTGTGTTACTCCCTTTTTGTGAGCCCATGAACACAGTCCTGTTCTTGTCATTCTCTATATCCAACCTCTTGTTCCCAAAATGGAACAGGGAAGTACATGACAGAACTCACCTAGTTCTTACTGCTTGTCACAGGACCTCAGCAGTGTCCCATTTCCTCCTCTAAATAAAAGCAATGAGAGAGTGGCTGGAGAGGAAGAGGAAGGATGTTGGGCTATAGGGAAGATGAGACTTAGCCGGTAGCAGTGATGGCCTGTGCTCCTGGAACATAGCCTCTTCCAGGGGTTGTACAGAGTACCAGTCTTGCAGGCTTTTTCTTCAGAGAAAGAGTGATAATCACCATGGGCACCTGACCTGCCTTCAGAAGTCTTCTTTGCACTTTATTCTAGAAATGAGGACCACGGAAGGCAGGCATCTGGGCCCTGCTGCCATGAAAGGTAAGGGGCAAGGAGACGGATATAACCTCTGCACCCACCCCTCCTACTGGCCCTGTTGCTGCCTTCCTCCACTTCTCAGAAACTGCTTAAATTGTCAGTCCTATTTCCTCATCTAAACACCAACTGATCTCAAAGACTGTCCCCCAGATTGGTAATAGTCAAGAGTCTCTAAAAGCAAACTGCCATCTAGGCATCAAGATACTGTTTTGCCAACAGGAACTCTGAAAATTTAAGTCCCCCTCTAAACTGAGCCCTGAAAGAAAAGGGTGGTTTTGATCTCATTATGAATGTGGAAAAAAGCTTTTTTCCCCCTGCCTGCCTTCTTCCCTTTCTAAAGGAATGTTTCAAGCCAGATGTAAGATACAGGCCAGTCTGCTCCCCATCCAGAACCCCCCTCCTTGTCTTCCCCAACACTGCAGAGATAAAAAAGATCCAAAAAAGATTTTTCTTCAACAGGAAAACGGAGGTGGGGGATGGGGACAGAGAGGGATGCATCTTGAAATGATAGGAATCTGCAGTCCAAGCGGACTGGCCCCTCAGCCAGCTACCCCTCACCCTTCCAGCCAGGATTCCAAGTCAAGAGGAGAAGAAACCAGGCTTTTCAGGGGTGGGCGTGCGTTGGTTACAAGAGAGGAGAAGCACAGGAAGGAAAGGAAAGGAGGGAAGCATTACACGGTAGAGAGGGGCACTAGCCCAGTCCAAGAGGGCAGTTAGACTGTGATGTTAAGAGGAAAGATGAGACGACTGCATCTTTTCTCAGGCCCACTTTTCTTCTTTGCCCTGCCACACACCCCCTCCCCCGATCCCGTGTGGGAGGAGAGAGCGCAGCAATTTTTCCTGAGAAGAGGATGAGTACCACCCAGGGTTGGGGAGCCCGTGGGGGTAGGGGAATTCTGTGAATAACAGACTACAGATACCTTGTGGATTTCTAGTCCTTCTTGCCCAGTCTGCCCTATCCTAAAGCATTTGGAATGTAAGGCCTGAGAATGTTCATCAGTCTGAGGACAGTTGCTTAGTACTTGGGACTCCAGAAGTCCCTGAACCTAAGAGGGGAGAGATGGGAGGAGAAACTTCTAGAGAAGAAAAACAGGTGGGAAGGGAGAGGACAAGCTTCCAGGTGACATCCTCAAAACCCAAGGCTGAAGACAAATGCCCAGATTATGCAAACACAAGTGCTGTTTAATTTTGAGAGTAATAGTTTTTGCCTGTGTTTCACTTCTGAACTTAGCGCTGGGTGCTGCTGCTTCACCAAAGCCCTCTGCGTTCCATGTGGGTAGACTAGCAGAGGCTTGGCTATCCTTGCCAGCTGCCTCTTCCCCACCTCTGAAAGGGAGACTTAGGCGATGGGGGGGGGGGGAGCTGAAGAACTGTCACAAGCCCGGGAAGGGCTGCTGATTCCTTGAACCCACCCTGAGAAAAAATAGGAAGGCAGCTTCTGCCCTACGGGCCTAACCTGCAGCGGAGGGGAGCAGCATATGGAGGCCAAGGAACCCTCAACCACGTCCTTGCTCTACACGTCTTCACCCCTCACCGGGCAGTTGAGACATGTGGCTGCATCTATCTCCCCGTTCACTCACCAGTCACGGCGATTCAGCGACAGTCATGCTGGGATCTAACTCTAACTCTGTTCAAGCAGCAACTTGGTCCCCTGAACAGTCTGTGCCAGGAGCTGTATGCTGTATTCCCTCCAGTATACAGCTCCCGCCTCCACAACCCACCCAGCCCTCAGAACCACACTCACCACCAGGACGTGTCTACGCGGGCCGGCAGAGTCAGCAGCAGTAGCAGAAGACAGGCAATACGTAGGCGAGCTGAAGCCGAAGTCGGGGAGACGTCGGGGACCACGGGTCTGGGCGCGCGGATAGGGGCGGGAGCAGGGGCGCGGGCGCGCCGAGGGGCGAGCTGCGCAGCTTCCTCAGCACCTCCCGGCCTCAGCATAGCTCCCCGAAGACGCCTGCAGCGCAGCCCGGAGGGGCGTGGATGGGGTACCGTCTAGGGTTTCGCAGGCTGTTCCTACCTCACCCTTTGGATGGCCATGGGGCTCGCCGGTGGCTGGGGGCTTAGGGTCACGTGGAGTCCAGGACCGGGGCACAGGTTCCTGGAGAGGGCGCAAGTCTAAGCGCCCGGAAACCGACGACGGCGCGCCCAGCTGGGGGTCTGGGGCGCGCGGCCCGGCACGAGGTGCGGTGTCAGGGGCTCCGAGGCGCGGAGTGGGGCCGCGGGGCCGACTGTGCGGACAGCCTCTCTGGCCGTGGACTCTCATTGGACGGCGCGGGGCGGGGCCGAGGCCCGGACACGCGCGGCCTTCGGAGCGGCTCCGCCCGCGTCCGCCCGGGGCGCTCCGCGCCGCACCCCCACCTGCTCTGGCGCGTCGCGACTGGGCGCAGCTGAGCCGGTAGCGCCCAGTCCCTACAGATGGCACACCACCGGGTCCTAACGCCCTTCATTTGGACTCCGCGGCTGGGGGTTAAGGCTGGGCGCATGCTGCGGGAGGGGACCGAAGGAATTCTCCCTGTCCCCTAACCTACGACCCAGAAGACGCACTCATTTCCTCTGGTCCTCTTGCTCTTCCGTGAAATGGGTAGAAACTGCCACCGGAAGTTGAGCGGAACTCTTAAATCCCTTTCTAAGTGTCCTACAGTAGCACCGAGGGCAGCCGGCTTCAGGTAGAGGATTCTCTCGTCTAGGGGTCATCACCTCTGCTCCTTCTGACCCTTTCCCCAGAACATTTAGTCCTAGCTCCTACCCTACCCCACTTCACCTGCCCCGTGCCCAGACGTCTCCCACACCCCCAAGGGACCAGGTCGAAGGCCAAAGCAGAGAACGGCAGACCTGCATGGCGCACACGGACCCCGGCCCCTACAGGAAGGCCGAGCTTGGTCTCCCCGGCTCCCCTCGGGTCTCAGTCCCCCATCCTCCGGGCGGGGCCACGAGTAGCAAAGAATCAAAAACAGCTGGGCGGTTTCCCGCACCAGAAGCCAGGGTGGGAGTCCAGCTCAAAGAATGGAAGCCCTGGAGCATTTTCTTTCCGAAGCCTTTCCACCCTTCCTCCGCTCCGATGCTCCCACCCAGCCCTGCACACTGCCGGGGGGCGTGAGGGTAAATCGGGAAGGGTAGAAAAAGTGCTGTCTGCTCTAAGAGACTCCCTCTCCTTTCCTCCCAATTCCTCCCCCGCCCCTCCGCGCAAGTCCCAGGCTACAAGGTACAGCTCCCGGGGCAGAATGGCCCTTACCGAGTCCACAAAGTCCTTCTAACTTTGAGAGTTCAGTCGGGGTCTGGCCCTAACTCCTCGCCTAGCCCCTCATTCCCAGACAGCTTTCATGTTTCTGCTCCTTCGTGACTGAACTAAACTGTGAAGTCCTTTAGCCGGCATGGTTACCCAAACCTGTTAATTGCATCACTAGGGAGGCTAAAGGAGCTGCATCACCAGATTTCAAGGCCAGTTTGGGCTACATAGTGAGACCCTGTCCGCTTCACAAAATGCTTTTAAAAAACAGAAATGAACTGGAGATGTAGCACAGTGTGAAGGCCCTGGTTTCAATCCCGAGAATTTAAAAATGAACAAACAACCCCGCTAAAGCCCTGGTGTAAATTACACTGTAGTAACTGCCCACCTCCCTTAACCCCAAACTCTCCATGTCAGTCCTTGTTGCAGGCAGGGATGGAGGAAGTTGGAAGAGCCAGCGCGTGACGCAGCAGGGTGCCTCTGGCTGCAGTCATCCCAGGGACAGAGATGGGGCAGAGCTGTTTTATCCCTGCTCTCCTCACTCCTTTGGTTCTGCTTCTGGTGCTAAGAGTCTGAGCCCATTGATCAGCTCCACAACTGTGCTTATTCCCTGTCCTGCTAGGACTCCACTAGGACTGATACTGTTGTGTATCAGTAAATAAAGCAAATCTCTGCCCTCCTGGAGTTTAGTTTACAGAGGGGTGAGAGCTAATATAAACATACAGTATGTTAGAACATGGTTAGTACAGTGAGGAAAATAGAGAACAAGTCAAAGGGATGGGTCACTCTTGTAACAAAGGTGATCAGGGTAGGAAGCTTTTACAGTGAGATCCAAGCAAAAGCTTAAGTGACTGAGGAAATAAACTGGGCAGATTCTAGTGAAGAGCATCCCAATGAGCATTAAGGAGTAAACTGGCCTAAGATAGGAAGGGGCTGGTACCCAGGAGCTATTCAGAGGTCAGCCAGTTGGAGATGAGCAAGCCAGGGAGGAGAAAAGGAGTTCAGACAGGTAATAGAGGGGAGAAGTTGCCCACCACTGGATGTTGCTGGTACAAGTGGGGCTGGCGCAGAGTTGGGAGAGGGAGACCGTGCAGAGCCAGTATGCTGGCCACAGGAACTAGGACCGTGTCCCTTTAGGGCTACCCTTTCCTTCTCTCTTTCCCTCAGGCTAGGCTCTGGTTGGCCTGCTTTGTTCTTGGGAAGCCACAAATTCTGTGACAGTAAGTTTCTCTGAGCAGAACAGGTGGGAGAGAAGTGAGCACAGGCCCATCCCCACCTGGGTCCCCTTCCTTGAATCACTTTCACTTCCTTCCAACTCAGCCCACCCATCTGTAGGTTAGCAGGCTTCCAGGTTCAGCACTGCTCTCAGACTCCCGCGTGTTTAGATATGGGTGTGACTCTGGCTCTGTGTTTGCTTCTACATATGCGCCTGGGGTAGAAGGGTGGGAGCTGGAGAGGATCACATATAACCTTGGATGCACTCACCCATGTGGGCTGCACACTCACATCTGAGGTCCTTCCTTTTGGCTTCAGCTGTCTTCATAGTTAAGTAGGATCATATCTTGGCACAGCACAGATGTTCAACTATTAAATTATGTTTTCAAGCTGAGAGGACCCCTAACAAGTATCTCTAGAAGGGAGCGGCCAAGACTTCTCCCCAAGGCTTTCAGGCCACTTCTGCTCTGGAGTGGGCAACTCAGGATGCAGCTTTGTTCCTCCACTCCTTTCCCCCTCCCCCAGTCCCTAGATACCCAGGAGGAACCCCAAACTGCAGGAGCCAGCTGACCGCAAGAGCAGCACTCAACCACTTAACTAGAGGACAAATACGGAGCCAGAGAAGAGGTTTTCTGGGATCCGCCACTTTGGAGTTTCAAGTCTTAAAATAAACTTTCAGTCTCAAAGTCCTAGACACTATTGGAAAGCTCAGCTCCTCACGCAAGGGTCTGTATTGAGGCTTTCAGGCAGAGGGTCAGACCAGCCGCTAACCTGGTCTGGCTTATCCCACACCCCCATTTTGGGTTAAGGCAACTAGCAGAGATGAGTGATTGAGAATCAAGTCCTGTTTTAGAGGGCCCTTCAAGGAGTCAGGTCAGCACTTACTAAGTACCTGCTCTGGGTCTACCACTGGCATCCTGAATAACAGCAAGAAAAGGTCTTACTCCCTAGATATTTCCCTGCAAATACAGAACAATAAAGCTAGGCTCTGTTGGAGTTCAAAGCTGCACGGGGCAGATACATAGTATGCTGCCATGTGCAGCAGCCACAGAGGTCTAAGGAAGGAAACCCCCCACCACTTGGTCATGTGCGCCATATTCCATAGGACCTCCAGCAGACTGCCAGCAGAGCTTTACCTTCTCTCCTTATGGTGGCACCAGAGCTTTCTGCTGTCTCCTTTATTTCTCTCTTTTCAGTACAGGGAAGTAAACCCACTGAGCTACACTACCAGTCCTTTCCAACTTTCACTCTGAGACGGTCTCACCAAGCTACCCAACCTGACCCTCAAACTGCCTCAGCCTCCCAAACTTCTAGGACTATAGGTATGCTCCAAGTCCTCTGCCCTTTCAAAAGTGGGAAGGGCAAGGATCCCATCTCACTCTCCATACCTCACCTCAATGCTCTGCTCCCCAGTGAGGCTACTTAGAGTCTCCATTTTCAGCTGTGTGTGTTGAGTAACTTTGAATTTTTACTGGTCGTTGAATGGGAATGGAGATGAACTAAAGGGAGCTCGGGTGTGGGTGAGCAGCCCTTACCCCACCCTGGTCTGTCTTCCAGAAGGCCCTCCCTCCCGGGCCCCTTTGTCAGATGACCTTCTCTTTCCCGGTGGGTGGGAGGTGGTGTGGATGGTAATGAGCAGAGAGAAAGGCCAAGAAGGGGTGGGGTGGGGGGAGGCGGGTTTGGATAGGAGTCAAGGAATTCCTGAGTCTGCTACTTGCACAAGGGGCCCTGAGACGCCTTTCCTGAGATTGCTTTGCAAACCAAGGCAAATCTTATTTGAATTGGGGCCAGGTTTGCGCAGGCCTCTAGTGCCCTACCTCCTGCCATGCTGCACCATGCAGGTGTCTGGGGAAAAGAAGGGAGCTTGAGAAGAAGCTCAAGAGCTTTTGGGAGGGGGGTGGCATGGAAATCCATGCTTTGTACACAGCCTAGCTGGCCTCTCCTTGGTATTTATGAGCTCCCAGGCGAGAGGTGGAACGTGTCTCAAAGAGGCCAGGCTAACCAGGCTTTGGAGGGAAGGAGAATTCAGCCCCACGAAGACGATTGTGGAGCAGCACCCCTTTCTTCCCAGCTAGTGGCTAAACAGGGTGAACCTCTCTCCGCAGGATGAACAGAGGGATTTAACAGAGATGAGGAAGGACTAGATAAGGCATGGGGAGGTGGGACCATGGAGGCGGAGCATTGGGGGGTTTCAGAACCTTTTGGCACTTTGGCTGTAATCAGACTGGAGCCAGGCGGGCTGACAGCCATCCTGGGTGGGTGGCCCAGGTTCTGTGTGGGGCCAGTGGGTGTGCTACTAGATCCCGGGTGGTCACTGATCAGCCTTTCCCCGCGAGAGTTCCCATTTGGCACCCAGGCCTCCTTTCCTAATTTGTCTGTCTGCATTGCATGCTTTCTTTCCTGAACACCTGTTCTGTTATTTTCTTTTTTTTTTTTTTTAATTTTATTTAAAAGGAAAAAGAGAAAAAAACAAAACAAAGTGGTGTAAGGGTACAACTGATACAGAAGTACAAAAAAAAAACAGTAAGAAATCACCAGTTAATAGATTACACACTATCATCTTAGAGATAGTTGCTCCAGTCACAGTATCAAAGCATACAAAGTGGACATTCAAACAGTGAGACTGCAAACAGTTGTGTTCAATGATCCAACCAAAAACATTAATATGGTCAGCTATTTAACACCCCTAAACACACTTGCAGTTGTATACTTTACAGCACTTTTTTTCCCTATTTTTTACAACAAAATTTACACATTTTGGGTTTTATTGCTCCTTAGTTCTTATTA